TTCAACATTAAAAGATGAGAACTGCTTTACAAACAATTAGCAGGGTTAATCTAGGATATTACTTGAGCGTCAAACAGTTCTCAACACAAACTTGTTTGTCAATTGGAACTTTACACACCGTGTGAGTACACTTGCTCGGAGCCTGCTCCGAATGCAGTAAGTTTCAGCCATTTTCAAATGAAATTTATGGCTGAAAAATAACAGCATTCACTTTGTAACTATGCCTATGCCAGAATTCCATCCTTAAAACATCTGTCAATTGTTGTTAAGAATGGAAATTAACAAGAAGAAACCTTCATAACAAAGGCGTCCCGAAACAGTCGCTAAGTGTACTAAATATGGCTCTGGTAAGGTCAATTTTTGGGATGCAATTTTCTCAAAGACAAGGACAAATAACACAAAACAACAACAAGAAGTGCTTAACTCGAAGGTTCAAGTGTGGCTTTGAAGGATTGCCATCGCTGTAAGACAACAAACGAAGGGAAAAACACACACCAAAAATTAAAGTACCACTAAAATATCTGAAAAAGAACAACGTGCAGGCAAAGAAACCCTACATTTTGACTGGTTTGCGCTACATTTTTGCCATTGTTTCGTCACAAATTTCCACTGTGATGGAACCATCCAACCCCATCTTGGACAACGAACCAACCAAGCGGCGATAAGAAATCAGCCCACGTGACATAAGTTTCCTATACAGTCTTTCCGTTATCCATGCCTATTGCCACCAGTAAACTGGTCGGCGTCTGGTCTGAAATTCACGAGAAGTGGTTTATAAAGGTTCTAATGGTCCAAATGGGAACTGAACTAAACAATGTAGTCAACAACTAGATTACACTGTGTGGGAGAAAGGAACACTGCCCACCAACGTTTGATATATTAAAATTCTAAGGTGCCGGACTCCAAGGCTTTCTGTTCATTTTTCTATATTTGGTTTGGTTTTCTTTGTGCTCAAGTCTCTTCTGGGAAATGCGGCGCGATAGAGTGGTGAAAAATTTTGCGATTTTGACCCCAAAGCCTTGAAGTCTAGCCTGTACCACGTGGTGCAGGCTAGACTTCAAGGCGTTGGGGTCAAAACCGCAGGCAAAAAGTCTGTCTGCGAAACAGCACTTAAATCCTTCTTCTAAGCCTCCACCTCCGTACTAGGATTCGAGTATGAGCTATGATTGGCCCGTTATAAATGCCATTGTCGATTTGCTAATCAAGATGAAAGGAAATTTGAAATGCTCTTCCAGTAATTCGTTGAGTCCTTTGGGGGCCAGAACAAGGATGTCAGCGCTGCTTCGCAGACATTGCTAACTGAGGTTAAATCAGGTCTGTGACACCAGCTGCTTTAATTACGTCATGTTAGAGTTTTGGTATATCGAACGTGGCTATTTGCAAAATCGGAGGTCAAATCTGTCACATAACATCCAATCAAAATTTTAAGTTCCTTTAGGGAAAATCACACATGTAATTTAATATATGTATGACTCATTGATTTAGACTTAATGAAACATGTGTGCACGTTTATTAACTTAATTCTTATATATAATGTTTGGATTATTTGACCTAAAAAATGTAAGGTAAAATTCCATATGACTGTGTAAAGCCCAAAGCCTTCCAAAACATGTACACTAGGGTTTCCCAGTAGTACTTACTTTAAAATTCAGTCTGACTCCTGATCTGCGATCAAAAACATTGTGAAAAATTAAATTCACAAGCATATTTGTGGATGGTTAATGCTCCTACCGAAGCCAGATTCTACACTTGTAGCTATAGTATTTAACTATTTTTTTTGTGGTCATGCAACTGTCTTACTTATCATAGTTGCTTTGGATTCTTTTTTTGCTTAATTTTTTAAAATTTAATTTCATTTGCCAGTTTGTGTGAGGCCATTTCAAGTTACTGTCATGCAAGCAGCAAAGAGATGGAAAGATGTGACTGAAGACTCAGATGAAGAAGGTAATTTCTATGGTTAGAAAATGAGCCCTCCTATATATGAAGCTAAAAGAGAAAATGTGATCACTCACTGTACAATGTAAGGCTATTGCAACGTTGGCCATAATTGCTGGGATGTTGGACACTAGTGAAAACATTTGGCTGAACCCATCCCTCCTCACAAAGTTGGGAAGAACCCACTCATTTTTAAGCAAGCGAGTGATTAGTCCGTTTAACAGAAACTTTTGCATGTGGACCAACCTTAAGAGAACCTTTGTTAGGGGCTAGTTACATGAATCGAGGCACAAAGATTATAGAACTACGCAGATCTTAGAAGGGTGAACAACTTATCATTTGGTTAAGACATGGAAGGGTGTGGTCAGGTTAACTGTGAACTGCCTTTTAACAGAGGCTTTTTTGGCTAAATCTGGCAGTTTCTTTTCACTCATTTTACTGTGAGGCTGGAAAACATGGAGCCCATCTTCCTCCAATAAGTAGTTATCTTTCACTACATTCAAAAGCATTGATGCCGTTGTATTAGTACTCAATGCTGCTTTCAATCCTCTGTACATGTATCTATAAAGTGGGTCACATATAGTTTTGAAACAAAACCTGTCCCAAATATTACGTCCTCAATCAGAAACTACCAAAGTAATCCTTTAATGATGACAGACAAAAGACTGTCCACCTTTATATAAATTAGTAGATCAGCACTTTCAGTTAGCACAGAAATATTCAAAAATTCAAATGCACATGCCACAAATTCCACCTCTGATGATTCAAGGCATCAGTTTTGTGCATTTGTATAATGAAGGCCAATTAAGTTTTGGGTGAAACTTTAGGATTTTAACATTTAAATTTTATGTACTTTTTAAAAAAAATGAGCAGGAGTGTATTATCAGGTTTAAAAACTAAAGGCGAAGCTGATGGTTTTTAAACCTGATAATACATGACTGCGTGTTTTTTGAACAGCTTCAAAATCTCTGATATGGATCAACTCATTCTTGCACTAATATCTAGATTTGGGTTATTTTGGTCTAAAAAAATTGGATGTAATTTTTAGCCTTGTCTTTATCAGATATAAAGACACTCATTAAACTTAAATTTCTTTTTTTTTTCATGAATTATTAACAAGTTTTTGAAACATATTTATCAGTCAGTAAGTGTATCCATGGACACAGCAAAAGAAGAAATTCAATAATTAGTAACCAGTGATGTTGTTACCTCTGCCAGGGTGCAAAGAAAATCATTTTTACAACTTGCCTCTCGGGCAAGCTGTAGCTAGCATTTACTAGCCCAGACGTCATTTCAACTATAGCCCCCACAAATTTTTGACTAGTAGAATTGATTTCACAGTCCAATTCGAATTCCTCAAAAAACATCACTTGCCCGTCGGGCAAGTTAAAAACAGAATTCACTGGCCCGATAGCAAAATCCACTAGCCCCGGGCTATCGGACACTACTTTCTTTGCACGCTGCTCTGTGTGCTGTGTCCCTGATGCATAAAAATCCTCAAAGACACAAAATAATTCATGGCATGCGTCCTGTAGAATGCAAAGAACAAGCTATCAATTTGAAGATTTTCACTCAGCCATGCGCATACCCCTACTCAAATATTCCAAAATACCCTTGCTGTTTTTAGTTGGCACAAGCAAACCTCTATCCAATCTTCACAGTGTCTAGTGTGTCCATAATCGATTTGTGACAATGCATCTGTGGGCAGTTGTTCAACCCTCCATCATAGTGCTTGTCAGGTAGTTCTTGAGTCATCTCAGGGCAAAAAATGTGTGGTCTGAAGTCGCCGATGTCACAGGAAATGTCAAATACATCCCTAAAAGTGTTTTTTGGCACCAAAATGTGAGCCCCCCTGCCCCACCTGCTCCACTGCCTATGAGTTTCAAATTGGGTAAATGTTGCCAAAATGTCTATATTTCTAGCCTTAAAGTGATTTATCCAAACAACATGCCACGTTTAAAAGGCAGGTAAAATTTAAAATCTTTTTTTATCTCACTATGGACATACTTAGTCATGTGCTAGGCAATGAAAAAGTTCATGTGTATCGATCATGTTCCATCGCAGCAAAAACAGCCAAATTTTACGAGAGATTACCTCAGACTTTAAAGAATGCACTAAATTTAATGCTAGGAAAACCATTGTTTCTCTAAAGTTTTCGAGGATCACGAACGCAATTTCAGAGCAAAAGATTAGTCCTGTTACGGACGTGTATGCTACAGCTGATCTTTATCAAGCCAGGCCGGATAAGCCCAAAATCGTTTGGCGTTAGGAAATAAATTCGCTGTTGACTGTTCACGAGTAGACACTGTTTGTTTGCATTTGGAGGAGGCATTTGAAACTTAACTTGAGGAAATGAAGCTTGATACAGATGTCCTTGAAGAAACTTTCCCTTCACATAACTTGAATTTCTTTTTCTATTTCTATTTCTATACCTATACTTGGCAAAGGTTGCCCATCACGCCAAGGTAAATAATAAAATAAATAAATAAATAATAAATAAACCAAATAATCAAATAAATGGAATTATGTAATTAAATATATAAAATCTGTTCCTGAACATGTACGTACAGTGCATATAAAAATGTCAAAGTCTGATCTTCCTAATTAATATTTAATGCTAGAGAGTTCCAATCTTTTATGGTTCCTGGAAAGAAACTGTTCATGTCCATGTTACCCTTGGAGCTTGCATTTATAAAAGATGATTGAGACCTAGTGTTGTGAGTGTGGGCTGGTACATTTAAGTGTGAATTGGTCTTGTTTCGAGCATAGTAAAGAATAAAACCATGCTGTGTTGTGTTACAGCTGTGTGCCTTTGTAAAATTATTGAGAAATCAGTCATGGGAGAATCTGACATTTTCTGTCCTGCGAGACTTGATCCTCGACTCGATTCTCAATAGCTTGTTCTTGATTCTCAATTCTCGACTCCCCCAGGAATCGAGAATCGCAAATCGAGTCCAGAATCGAGACTCGCAACAGACTGTCAACTTACTTTTGAACAGTAATGTATAAGTAATTCTCTGTGTTTGCTTTTCATTAAAGATGTATGACAATTTTGATGTTTGGCTATGGCATCTTCTTTATGGGAACCACAGTCATGGGATTGCAGAGCAGATGATTCCCGCAAAGTGCAAGTCACTATTTTGGCTTCTGAATGGGGATCAAGTCAAGGGGGACTTTCCACCATAAACAGAGAGTTAGCCATTCAGTTGGCCAAATGCCCTGAAGTGGAAATCACTTTCTTTTTACCTCAATGTAATCTAGAGGACAAGAAGGTAGCCATGAAGCATAACGTAAAGATCGTTGAGGCAACACCACTGCCTGGCTTTGAGCAGCTGGACTGGCTTTGCTTTCCGCCTGAAGATTTGCAAATTGACATTATCGTTGGTCATGGAGTTAAACTCGGTAAACAGGCACAAATCATTAAAAGGTCTAAAAGGTGCAAATGGGTTCAAGTGGTGCACACAGATCCAGAGGAACTTGGAATGTTCAAGAACTATTCAGAATCAATTTCAAAAGGTGAGGAAAAGCACAAGACGGAAGTAAAACTGTGTGAAATGGCAGATCATGTTGTTGGGGTTGGTCCCAAGTTGAGCGAGGCCTTTCGCTCCTATCTTCGCAGCTGCCAAAAAGATGACAGTGTTGTTGACTTCACTCCAGGAATATTTGTAGAGTTTGCATCTGTGAAGCAGGCTTCTAGCGAAAGGCAACAACGTAGTGTCTTGGTATTTGGTCGTGGAGATGTGGAGGATTTCAAATTGAAAGGATTTGACATTGCTGGGAAAGCAGTTGCTGAGTTAGAAGATACTCGTCTTGTCTTTGTTGGAGCTCCAGATGGAAAACATGAAGAAATAGCAAAACAGTTGACTGAATGTGGTGTCCCTGCAAGTCGTTTGAGAGTAAGAGGATTTGTTCAAGATCGAGAGAGTTTAAGGCGTTTGTTTCAAGAAGTGGATCTTGTTGTCATGCCTTCAAGAACAGAGGGCTTTGGATTGACAGGACTGAAGGCCTTGTCGGCCGGTCTCCCTGTGCTCATCAGCCGCAACTCCGGTTTTGGAAAAGCTTTACACAGTGTACCTTTTGGATCATCATATGTAGTGAATTCAGAGGAACCGGCAGATTGGACCTCTGCTATCAAAACAATCTTGGTCAAGGACAGGAGAAGTCGGCTTGAGGAAGCAGAAACCTTGCGCGAATCCTATGGCAAAAAATACAACTGGGCCAAACAGATTAAAGATCTCATTGACACGATGATCAGTCGGATGTACGGTATGAATACCAATTTTCTTTTTGTGAAAAAAAATATTCTTAACACATTGCAAAAGGAATAATAGGATGTGGACTCTAATAAGAATTGAAAATAAACGGACAAAACCAAATTTGAGTAATATCCGCTGCCTTTTTGTCGCGGCTGAGATCGTGAAAAAAGGCGATAATTACTAAGTTTTATGTTACATGTAAGCAAACAAAGTAAAGTAATATTTCATCCAAACCATCCATCATATGCTTTATCCCCAGTTCACTGGCTTATGGGATTATTCCATACATCTGCATTTACATGTACCAAAACAGCCTGTTGTTATCTACTCTTTTTTGTCAACAGATGATTCTTTAGATTACCAGAGCTCTTCAGAAACAAAACGCAGAATTTTTCCATCCACTAATAAAGCTTCGCAGCAAATGGAGGGGACAACTGTAGACCCTGAAGGTATCCGTGATGACTTAATAATTGTAAACTTCTTGAATGGCGTTGCTGATCAAAAGTGTTAGATTTCTTCACTAAAATGGTTAACATCATTTGAATCTGTCTTGGCTTATGCAAGTGTGGTTGAACGATAGCTACATACAATCAGGGACACAAGTAGTTGACACACTTGTTTAAAATGGGTGCTTTTATCAACAATAAAAATTTCATTCATCTATCATTTCATTCCTTTTAAATGCCGTAAATCCCCCCACCCCAAAATCAATGTTGTCTGAAGTAAATACAACATTGATTTTGGAGTGAAGGTGTTGGGGTAGACAGAGGAAGGGGATAGGTTGTCCACTACGCAAAAACGGGTCATTTATGGGAAGTGTCTCAACACTTTTATTCCTCATTGTAGGTTCACTTGCATGTATACGTACTGCTAAGGAAGAAGGGTGGGCTTCAGTCTGCCTCGAACTGGTTTAGGATTTCGCTTTTTCTCCATAAGTTCAAGAACATTTAAACTTCTAGAGTTCTCAAATCTCTCAAAAATAGTGATTAGAGGGAGAGAGAGGAAGAAAAAAGAATATGTGGCAGGTGTGAACATGTGCACATTTGTGTACTTTTCATGTACAAATTATTGGATCTCATTATGCCTGAAAAGTGCCAAAATTGCAAGAAAACTAATGAAAACCAATTAAAGAAATTCCTTTGTTGATTTTATTCATTTAAATATTTGAGAGGAAAGCTATTAGGGAGCTCAAGCAAAGACTTTTTTGATCGGTGCCACCTTTCAACTTGACGTGAGGCCTTTCCTTTTTGACATGCCTTGAAGCTACCAAAAGTGTATTGCTAAGTGTCTTTACTCTTATTGAGACAGTTTGCTGCAAAATATTTTGGGCATAACAATTACTGTTCAAGATGCATTATGTTCACTTCCATTCGACCCCATTGTGTTGTATGTGAAACGTTGCTTATAAGCAGAACACAAGATACTAACCAGCCTACACTGCGCTCTGCAAAATAAATCAACGAGCGAACTGAGAACTATGGATTAAGCAAATAATATTATTAAAATCTTGCTAATTCTCTTATCATAAAAAACTAGTTGATGTAAATTTCAGAGGATTATTTTAAATTAATCACTGCAATAGGATCCCAAAAATTATCAATATCCATGACCACTACACCCCTACAAAACAATGGAAAATGTGATTATAAGTACCTGTTTTTTTTTCAGCTTGTAATGTTTTTCCATCTTTACAAAATTTACAATGTGATGCAGAGCAGGTCAGCAAAAAAACCAACCTACCATCTGATCTGAGAACGATCGCTGCCAACAAAGGATTCTTTGTTTCTGATAACCAAGCATCCGGGAACTGTTTATTCCATGCATTATCAGAACAATTACAAAGTGTCAAAGGAATTCAAATCTCACACAAAGAGCTAAGAAAAACCTTGGTCCAGTTCCTCGATGAGAACCCAAATCTGGTAGGTTGATGACTAGCCTAACTAAGACAAAAACTATTGGCACGGGCCTTCCGTGTCTGTTTGGTGGATTCCCCTCATATGATAAGGAACAAGAATCGCCGAAAGGCGATTTTGACCTGGGCTGCAAAGGGGCTATTTTTTCTGAGGGGAGGGGGCGGCTATACACACTCAGGCTACCATAAAACCTTGTCGGCAACCATTGCATGCAACAGAATCTCATGTGAGACTGAAACATAAACTCATTCAGAACATTGTACCCTTTTGAAAGACTTTCGTAACCAAAAAAAAAAGAGTACCATTTTTAAGTGGGGGCTGTATAATAACTTTTAAATTCCACCATTATGAATAAAAATAAACAAGTTAGCCATTAATTCTAAACAGGAAACAATTTGCATTATTTCCACGCACCCCTCCCCCAATCCCTCTGTGCCCCAAAATATAGCGTGACAGTATAACGTGACTAATTTGACGTAACCGGAAATTCCAAAAATTGTTGTCCTTCTACGAGCATAAAATGCGACAGACTGAGCTGATTTACACTAGACAGAAATATTGTATTGTATGAAAACCAGAAGTATACTAAAACAGACAGTTAACTGCCCATTGATCCCGCCTGATCCAGGGGCCTCACTGACTGCACGGAGACTTTACTGCGCTTTTCACAAACATGCGAACTCTAAAGTTCAAAAGCCACCTTCACAATTGTGTTTATCGCTGCCGTCAATCATAATTACGATCACAAGCAACGAACCTTGAAACAGAGAAACACACAAAACGGATCGAAATCCACAAATCACAAACCATGACCTTTTGAACCCGTGAAGTAAAGTTTTGTTTCCTAAGAGGTCCGTTAAGATGATTGACAGCAGCGAAAAACGCAATCGTCGGTTGGGTTCTGAACTCCAGGGGTGCTTACCATTTGACAGAAAAATCCGGTTGGGGTGTCGAAAGCATAATGGTAAGCGATTTACCAGTTTACCGTAGAAATGCCACATCCGTTACGGTTTGAATCCAAAAAAGGGGCGAATTTGTGTAGCGTGAGTCTGGAACCGAGAAGGAACCGAGAAATTGGTTAATGGTAAGCGACATTCCGTTTGGTTCGTACCAACCGGAATGAAGGGACTACCTCAAAACGTACTCCTCAATTTTCGGTTGGAATTTCCGGAAAGTGACCTTACCATTTACCATCCATCCGGAACTTTCGAAATTTTCTGTCAAATGGTAAGCACCCCAGAATTCGCATGTTTGTGAAAAGTGCGATCCTAATTTGCGGTCCACAGTCTACATGAAAACGCACTATTTTTTCCACAAGATGAAAGGTATTCAGATTTAAGATTTTCCTCACGGTATTTTTCTCTAACTTAAAGGAATAAAATCCTTTGCATTTTGAGACCTAAAAAAGTGTAAAGATTTCTCGCTCGCATGTTGCGTTCTCCAGCAGGCACTTCAAACAATGTAAATAGATGAAACGATCGATAACATATTTTTTACCTGATACCGATGTGAGTTAAAAATTCGCTCCAGTTCTGTTTGTCTCACCCAAGACTAACTTTTCTTCATGGAAACTATGCCGCTTTATAACTCGTCCGAGGTTTTTGTGCCAGCTAAACAATATGGAAACACTATTCACAGTGACTCCTTGGATATTAAAAAGACTGAACGTGACGCACTATTATGCCTTTGTTTACTTCTGATCACATCTTCAAGCGAAGTCTCTCTTTTCAAGCGATTCATCTCAATGTACAATAATTGACCCTTATATTAGTTAAAATTCTATGGTTCATTTATATTAATGCTGTTTTTGCCCCTCACATTGACTGTGTTCGTTCGTATTCAAAACACCTTTACGCAAATAAAGGTCGTATGAGTCTTGTGTGTTATGTTTCGAGATAAATGGATTATACGCTTTTTTAAGTTTCCATTTTGCGGTGACTTCAGTTTACATCTCCATAAAATGGTAAAAGAAATATCAAGAAACATCACGAGAGCTGAAAATTTTGAAAGGCATGTGACAATATTGGTTAACATTGGTTAACATTGAGATATTGTAAGTCGTGACGTATTAGCCTCGCTTTTCATGGGATTAAAGAGTTGTTGTTGAACCGCCATCTTGAAGTTGCTCAATTCACTTCGTCTTCTTGTCCGGCTTAATACACCGGTAATGATTGTTACATGGTGGCAGCGGTAGACAATGCCTACTGATTCTGACAGTCAAGCTTCTGGACCGCAAGCTTCAGCTCCTGCTTTTCGTCGGTCACAAGTTTCTCCTCCGCAACCTCGAGAGATCGAAGGCGATCGGGCCGACAACTGGAAAATCTGGAAACAACGATGGGAAAATTACTGTATCATCACGGGCTTAAAGAACCAGCCAGAAGACTACAAGTGCGCCATTTTACTGCATAGCATTGGAATAGAAGCCATGCGAATTTTCAACGGCATGAAATTCTCCGAAGGCGAGGACCGTAACAAGATGGCAGATATTCTAGTCAAGTACGATCAGCATTTTCTCGGTCAAACTCAGGAATTCTTTGAACGTTTTCAGTTCAACCGTAGAGATCAAGCTTCTGGTGAGTCAATTGATGAGTATCTTTCAGTTCTGCGAAACATGGCTAAAACTTGTGGTTTCTGTGACCGCATGCGAGATTTGTTGATTATGGACCGCCTGCTCTTAGGCATCTCGGATGACAAAACACGCGAAGAGCTACTCTCTACTCATGATTTGACTCTGAATAAAGCTATTGACATCTGTCGAGGAATGGAAGCTGCTTCTCTTCACATGAAGGCCCTGAAGAATGAAGAAATTAATAAGATCAAGGATATATCGAAGAAGACAAAGAAGTCAGGCTAGATAAACACCAGCATAAAACCAAGAAACCTCCCCAAAGTGATGATCAGAAACCTGCAAAGAAGAAGTGTCTATACTGTCTTCAAATTCATGTGATGAAAAAAGAATTGTGCCCTGCCTGGGGAAAAACCTGTGCAGCCTGTGGTGAAAGAAATCACTTCAAAGCCTCAAAGAAGTGTAAACACCAAGGTGTCAACTCTCTTGCTGATGGTTACTCCTCTGATTCATCTGAAAGCAGCACTGGAACCATTAGCACTGTAACAGCTTTTGAAGATCAAGTTGTCAATTCAGCAAACCCTGGCAACCAGCTTATTTTCTGCGAAATGGAAATCAACAAAAGGCCTGTCAGAATGCAAATTGACTGTGGGGCTACAGTTTGTATTCTTCCAAAGCACTACTTGGGGGATCAGCACGCTATTCGTCCTGAGAGGGTTCATCTTCAGATGTGGAACAAAACGTCTTTACCTGCCCTTGGCAAGTGTGAGGTCAAAGTCAAGAACCCCACCACTAAGAAGAAGTACAAGGTGGACTTTGTCATTGTTGACAACCACTTCACACCTCTCCTCAGCAGTATTGCTGCACAGAAGATGAATCTCATGAGTGTCCATTATGACAAGTTTAAAGCAGTTAATGTTGTCCCCCATGGTAGCCAATACTTCAAACAGTTTCCTGATGCCTTTAAAGACACCCCTGGTACCCTACCTGGGAAGAAAGTTCACTTAACAACCATTGAAGGTTCCACTCCTGTCGTCCGTTGTGCCCGCACTCTGCCTGAGTCTAGAAAACAAGTTGTCAAAGATGAACTTCTGCGTTTAGTGGATGCAGGAATCATTGTGCCTGTGGATGAACCTACTGACTGGGTCAGTCAAATGTCTGTTGCTGAAAAGAAAGCTGGAATTCGTATCTGCATTGACCCAAGACCTCTTAATGAAGCACTGAAACGTGAACACTACAAGCTTCCCACTCTAGAAGATGTTCTTCCAGACCTTACCAAGGCGAAAGTATTCTCTGTTTGTGATCTCAAGTCTGGGTACCTTCACTGTGAGCTCGATCATGCATCAAGTTTGTTGACCACGTTTGCCACGCCTTTCGGACGCTATCGGTGGCTACGTCTCCCATTTGGTTTGAAAGTCAGCAGTGAAATCTTCCAAAAACGACTACATCATGCTCTTGAAGGCCTTGAGGGAGTCCGCTGTATCGCTGACGATGTGATTATTTGGGGTCGAACAGATGAAGAACACGATGCACGTGTCTGTACCTTCCTCAATTGCTGTGTCGATAAGGGTATCACCTTGAGCAAAGAGAAGTGTCGTTTTGGTCTCAACGAGATCCCGTTCATGGGCCACGTGTTGACCAGTGATGGCCTCAAGCCAGACCCCTCCAAAGTTGAAGCAGTCCAAAACATGGCACCTCCTCAAGACAAAGCAGCAGTGGAAAGACTAAGAGGAACTGTGAATTACCTGTCTGAATTTGTTCCAAACCTGTCTGATGTGATGCGTCCAATCTATGACCTAGCCCGCCCCACCTCTGAGTGGACGTGGGATGCTGTGCACGAGAAAGCTTTTACAGAGATGAAGCGCTTGCTGACACAAGCACCTGTACTAGCCTACTTTGATCCAAGTAAAAGCCTAACGATCCAATGTGATGCTAGTGGACAGGGGCTGGGAGCCGCCCTCCTTCAAGACGGCCAGCCACTAGCATACGCCAGCCGGGCTTTGAGTGAAGCAGAAGCCAGATATGCCACCATAGAGAAGGAGATGCTCGCGATTGTGTTTTCCCTAGAAAAATGGCACCAGTACACGTTTGGTCGTCCTGTGACTGTGTATTCAGATCATAAACCACTTGCAAGCATCGTGGAGAAGCCCCTGGACAGAGCTCCTAAGCGCTTACTGGGAATGTTAATGCGCGCCCTGGCATATGACATCGAAGTTAGATACCTAAATGGTAAAGAAATGTACCTAGCCGACACGCTCAGCAGAGCTCACCTGCCAAGAACCTCTGATTGTGGACAAGAAGAGTTCGAGACCATAAATGCCCTCTCCTATCTGATCATGCCTGAAGAGAAGATTCATGAGATACGCCAGCACACCAGTGACGATACCTCTCTTCAACAGCTGAAACGCATAATACAAGAAGGTTGGCCAGCAGACGAGAAATCACTACCACCCCTCGTTACCCCCTACTTCAGTGTCAGGGATGAACTTGCAGTTACAGACGGCTTGATATTCCGCGGCGAGCGACTTGTGATACCTAAAGGAATGCGAGCAGCAGTCAAGAAAGACATCCATAGCGGACACCAAGGAATTGAAGCCTGCCTGCGCCGCGCAAGGGAACATGTCTATTGGCCAGGAATGAACAAGGAATTAAAAGCGTGGATTCGCACCTGTGAGACATGCAGAGAGAATGAACTGACACCTTGCAAAGAGACGCTTATGTCTCATGAAATCCCTGAAGGAGCATGGGAGAAAATTGGAGCAGACCTCTTCACTTTTCATGACAAAGAGTACCTCGTCACCGTCTGCTACAAGTCTAACTTCTGGGAGTTGGATCCACTCACCAACACCAAGTCATCAACTGTGATCAAAAAGTTGAAGTCACACCTGGCGCGGTATGGTATCCCCAGGCAACTGGTCACAGATAATGGTCCCCAGTTTACATCCAGCGAATTCAAGTCTTTTACAAAGAAATGGGGCATTGAACACACTACCACATCACCGTACCACAGCAAAGCAAACGGAAAGGTTGAATCGGCTGTGAAAACTGCGAAAAGAATGTTACGCAAGACATCAAAGTCAGGAGAAGACCAGTACCTGGCTCTACTCAATATCCGGAACACACCAACTCAAGGTGTTGCTAGTAGCCCAGCACAGCGTCTTCTGGGAAGAAGGACAAGAAGTCTGCTACCATCCACAAGATCACTCCTGGAACCCAGAAACCCACCAAATCTCTATGAGATGGAACAACTCCAGTTAAACCAAAAGAGGCAGCAGTGTTATTACAACCGGTTAGCCCATGATCTTCCAGCCCTGAATGTTGGCGACACTGTCAGAATGAAGCCATTTGTGCTCGGCAAACATGATTGGGACAAGGGTAAAGTGACAAAGCGATTAGATGAGAGGTCCTTCGAAATCCAGTCACACGGGTCCACCTATAGACGCAATAGGCAGCACCTGGTCAAGAGCCCTCCTGTACCAGTACCAGATACACTACCTGCACCAGATCTACTACCTGGACCCCAACAGAGTCCAGATACCGGATTGCTAAACACACAAGCTGCGAACAGCCAGAAGGGCCACCTGGAAGCAAAGTCCACCAAGCAATCATCACCTGTGCGTACTCGCTCGGGACGTGTCATCAAAGAGCCCGTTAGATTCCAAGACTATGTTAAGACTTAATCGTTATCATTTTATTTTTCTTCCGTAACATCGATTTCCAGGAACTGAGGCTTTAGAACAGTAGTTCAGAAAATAACACACTGCACTTTCAGTATATTCTTTGTTTAATAAGCTTAGTTTTGCAGTATCATTGTTAAGTTTTGCCATTATCAAAAAAAAAAAGGGAGGATGTGACAATATTGGTTAACATTGGTTAACATTGAGATATTGTAAGTCGTGACGTATTAGCCTCGCTTTCATGGGATTAAAGAGTTGTTGTTGAACCGCCATCTTGAAGTTGCTCAATTCACTTCGTCTTCTTGTCCGGCTTAATACACCGGTAATAATTGTTACAAGGCATGTTTCTGAAACTCGCTAATGCTGACATCAATATAGCGTGCTTGCTGAATGGGCGAAAACACAGAATTGTGATCACAAGATCTTGTACAAATTTAATGACAAAAGCTTAGCAAGATACAGATACAAACAAAAGCAAACCCCCTGAAACCTCGACGTGGGCTACACTTGTATGCTCTACTCAGTCACCAAACCTTGTCAGTAATAGCTCCTATTTTCCTCAAGTCGCTGAAGCTCCCGGATGGGATGTCCCGGAGAAGCTTTAAACTTGTGTGCGAAATTCTCAGAGTTCCTATTTTTGTCCTGTCTTCTTTATCCTCAGTATCCGAAATTTAGATCTCCAAAGTGGCGTGTGTTGCATTAAATAGAAGGAAATATTTAAAGGAAAAGCCAGTCTTCTAACATGGCAAAGTTGTCACGTCCCTCGCTTATGGACGTGCCTCACATCAGGATTCATCTGCCATTCATCGGCAACTGAGTTGTTCGCTTCACTGACTATGACGGCTTACAATCAAGTCTTTAACCATAGTGTCGTCAACTGGTGAAATACTTTGCTCATAAATTGTGCTTCTTAATTGCTCATGTACTACATCGATCGATAGTTCACGAAGCAGCCACGGCGTTCCAAAACTGACGCTCACAGTCATCTTTTCAGTCTTTTAGTGTGAACCTACCGTGAACGGCGTGTCGGTTTGAATGCAACGCTAGCATTTCTCTGAGTTTCCCAGCGCCAACATCATCTAACTGACTTAAACTCGAACAAAAAAAAAATTATAGAGTTACTCCCATGGTCGAATAGCTTCGAACAACGCAAATAGCGTTCTTCAGGTTCGCAACGCCTTGTGGGTTTTTCAGGGGGAGCGCAGACAAGGTACAAAAAGTATGCGTGCAAGGGTTCATGCAAGAGAAAACCCTATGAAACCATTTGTGAAAACATCGTTTCTACGAACCAGACCCTCGTGTTTTCCCTCCCCCGGATGACCACTTTGTGACATTGACGACCGAAAACCCATTTTATGACTGGGCGCACAGGCAGCCCAGTAACTAAACATATCATGCTGTCCACGCGAGAACTTGTGAGTCAGCTCCAGCTTTATCTGTCACTTATACTCTTATACCACCCAGCTCGTCCTATTCTTGATGAGTTCATATCACTGCTAATTACTGCCCTACACCTGTTCCTCAAATTGTATCACGCCCCTTGATTCCTTAACTCAGTTCGACATTTCTTTGCTAAACTAAATTAGATAAAAGCCGGGATTGAACTAGCCTCCCGTGCAGGTGTCTTTAGGGAAACTCGTTTTCCATCCCTCCCCACAAACGCCTGCTCAACCGAGGACAACATTCCTTTCCCATTGTTACATTCGTGTGGTAAGTGACCAATCAACAGTTTTGAAATGAAGTGTCGACAGGCTAAACACGACTTATAAGCTCTTGATAGTGCAAAAACGTGACCCAGAACGTGACCCTAGAGTTACCTTTTTCCTTCTTTTCTTTCCTTTGCTAAGGTTATGCAGTGCATGGAGAATTCTAAAATCTGACTGAGTAAATGTTACTTTTGCTGCTCTGAGTCTAATATTTATTAGAGGACATGAATGTTTCTCAAAGTCTCATGCAGATCGCGTAATTGTCGGGTTCCCTTGCGGTCAAAGTCAACTTTCCAGAATTTGGAAAGTACAACATGATTGGCTAAGCGTGGGAAAGGAATGTTGTCCTCGGTTGAGCAGGCGTTTGTGGGGAGGGACGAAACACGAGCTCCCCTAAAAACACCTGCATGGGAAGCTAGGGTTGAACATAACAAAAAAGAATCGAAGTATTATGGGATCAAGACTAGGCTTTCTCGATCTTCTTTGAAATAACCCACCTCTTCGTATTTAGTCTGAAATACTTGAGCTTTGACGGCAAAACTTGGAGGGTAATAGCAGCGAAAAACAACCATTTTAGGTCACTTGTCTTGGTGACATTACACAAATACCGGTACGTCATGACTTGAAATACCGGTAGTCACCTTCTGTCGCCATCTAAGGTTACAGGTGAACCAGGTGAATTTTTTTTAAAATCCCTGTTAACAGTATCATTTCCATCTGAAAACTTAACTTCCAGAATTTTGGGGAGAATCAAATTAATAGAAAAATATTCATTATCAGGGCTCTCTCAAGGCAGGCCCAGTTTATAAAATACCTTCTATTTTCTCTCCAAGGGGTATTAACTGGGAAGTCATAGTGAGGGTGTGCTGTCGGGCTCTCCAAATCTTGACACTATTTCAGAGAAATAGCTATAAGGTTAATGTAAGGAAGTACTCCCCAGGGATTTCCTACGGCAAAAAATGAGGACTATCAATTATTGAGTTAGTAACAGCGAAGCATATTAAATGAAGGCAGCCATATCCTCAGAGACACAGGGTCAGCTACATGTAGTTTGGATGATAGAATGTTTGTGGTGAAAGTTTACTGTAAGATTGAGATGAGCCCCTAGGCACTTACTCTTACCAAACCAATTCCTGAAGATGTTGAATTGCGTGCTTCTGACTGGCCAGAATAAAAATTTTCTGGCCAATCAGCGAAAAGGAACAGCGGGGTGACTCTGGTGTTTTCTTTCATGACGTAGGTTTTCCTTCTCGATTGCCATTGTTGAGTAGCCCATTTAACTGGGAAAGTTTCTCGAGAGAAGTTTCAGAAAAAATGTTAACAAAGGCGGAAACGTTTCAGAAGTCGTGCAAACAAGCACGGAGATCTATCATGTAAGCTTGGCATTGTATACTAGACAATGTGAGCAAAGGTGTGGAAAGTAAAGGTCGTGCATCGTGTATCAGCAATAAAAATTATGATACCTTCGACAGATCCGTTGTGAAAACTAATCGGAGATTGTTTGTTTCTTTTAGCCATACTAAAGCATGCAATTTTCCCTATAGCGGCTAAGCCTGCATAGCAAGAGTTTCCTATCGAGTTATTGTGCGAAAGTTAGAGCATGAGCCCAACTTTCTCATCGAACTCGCACGGAAATGCTTGCTACGTAGGCTAAATGTTTCCGGATTTATTAACATTTTTTTCTGAAGCTGTCCTCAATAAACTTTCCCCGTTGAACACCATACACAATTAGAGCGATCAATAAGTGTGTGCAGCCTTTAAATACACTTTCTAGCAGATTGAAATCTCTCCATGTCTATGTCGCTTACTCAGAAAAAATTGAGATTCACTTGTTTGATTGTTTTTGTTTTTTAGCACAAAGGAACATCTCTGTTTAACTTTGTCTCTGGATACCCATCTTGGCGTGAATACTTACAAAGCATGGCGAAAGACGGTACTTGGGGCGATCATGTGGTTTTGTTTGCTGCAGCGAATCACTTTCAAACTACCATTCGTATTATCAGCAGTCTCGACCATGAGATAGTTGTCCAGCCAGATCATGCACTTGCCAACACCACCCCCCTTGTGCTGGGACACATTCACGAGTTACACTATGTCAGCCTTCAGCCCAGACAAGGTAAAACATTCTTTCCAATCACAAACATCCTGGGTTTGTTTTTTGGACTTGTGGGAATTATGTGTGAAGAATTTATATACATATAGCTATTTTGAGAAAGGTTGTCTGAAAAAATGTGCATGCGACAATCCCAAAAGGTAATATGGGATATGATCAATACATGGTTCCTGACACTGTATCTGATGAACCTACTTTTGTTGATTTCCTTTACTACTTACAGTCATATATGTCCAGTCATGTGTTCAAATTTCTTTGAAAAACAGTGAACGCATGTACTTTATCCGACAACCTTCTTCAAAACAGCTGTTTATCAGTAGCAGAGGACATTGCAAGATGATGTTAATACTGTAAATGTCTCTATGAGAATGAACTTTATTTTTTTTTCTAAACAATAAGTTGTCCCTGCTTAATCTGAATACTAGTTGTACAAGATGTCGTTCCATTGGATGTCGTAACCTTGTACAAAAGTGAGCAAGCTCAAAAACCTTCTGATTTATGTCCGTATCCTTGATTTCATAGCAAACGGCATATCTCATTTATACTTTTAAGTAATTGTGACTGAAATGAAAGAGTTGAAGGACAGAACTTGTCTAAATCTTCTTTTAGGATTGCAAAGATTACTCATCACTGTTTAAACTGTCAGTTTTCTTTGTTACAATCCTTTCATTTGTTATCTCTGCCTTTTTTTCCCAAGTCATTATATATGTCCGTGATTATTGTAGGAGTTGTAGTTGTGTTTGTTTACATGCTTGAGTTCAAATCAGACAGCGCTACGTTAGCACTTAATGGACATGCCGTGTGAGTGTTCATTACCGTAATTCCTGAGCAGAGAGGTTCCCACAAAGGCAGAATTTATCTCTACTGTAATAAAAAATTGCAGAGATATAAGAGAATTAACTCTTGCACTAACCTGATTCCTTTTCGGTCTGAGGTCATTGGCTCAAAAGTAACTCCATCAGCTTGTTAGCGAAAATTTTATGTTCTCGACTATTGTACAATGAATTAGAACATTAGTGTTGTTATTTCTGAATAATTGTTATAACTGATCATTGTGAAGAATAACAGCTGTTATTGTATGAATAGAGTGGTGAAAAATTTGCAATCTTGACCCTTGAAATCTAGCGTGCGCTTCAGAGGAAACTAAACTGTAGTAAAGTCCGTCTGCGAAACAGCGCTGAAATCCGTGTTATATTGGTGCTGCTTCACAGACATTACTAACCGAGCCTAAATTACGTCTGCGACGCAAGTAGGAAGTCAAGTTAGAATTTTAATATATCGAATGTGGGCTATTCGCAAATCTGAGCTATCTTTGAAATGTCCATCTGTCACATAACATCCAATATAAAATTTGAAGTTCCCTTAGGGAAAATCACACATGTAATTTAATGTATGCCTCATTGGTTTAGACTTCAAATATGAGCTGCAAGTTTATCATTTTAATTCTTATGTTTTGATTACAGTAAACACCCGCATATAAGAACACACGATTTTGGAGGTCAGGCTGATTGATCATGAGTTCTTATTTATCGGGTGCTTAATGACAAATCAGCCTCAAAATGTTCTTAAATTTTTATTTAGGTAGAACAAGGGCACTTTGAGACCGCCATCTTGATTCTTGACAATTTTTTCGTCTTTTATTATGGCTACAGGTGTTTGGAAACATTATTGAGCTATTTTGAAAAAATAGCTCATATGTCAGTGGTGTGAGCGTATGTATCTTTGTGGCTTTGTAACTTTGTATCTTTGTAACTTTGTATGTTCGGATGTTTGTTGCAAGAGCCAATAAGGTTGAAGGTGCTATTAGTTGATGCTTAGGAACCAATGAGATCTTAGCATCTACTTAAACATGACATTGGTAAAGGTCGAACAAGGGCACTTTGAGACCGCCATCTTGATTCTTCACAATTTTTTCGTCTTTTATTACGGCTACAGGTGTTTGGAAGAATTACATTAAATATCTTCATGATTCAAACGCTGTGTACAGTGATGCAGCTGTTTAAGGGTTGATATTTTAGTGTGGATGCTGCTTCAAGGCATTTCTGACCTAATTCGGCTATCTGTACAACGCACGTCAGAATGAGTTCTGTTTCACCTGCTACAACTGGGTAGAGTATAAAAGATCAGTGTAAAACGCGGACTGCGGACTGCAGACTGCAGAGTGCAGACTGCGGACCAGGGGTAAACTACAGACTGAGTGTAAAATGCAGACTGCAGACTGAGAGTAAAACGCGGGCTGGGGTAAAATGCAGAATAAAGACTGTAGACTTTTTTAAACATTTGTGCTCCTTCCTTTCCAAATCGGTGAAATAGCTAGCCGGTATCAGTTACACACTTCGCTTCCTAGTCGAAGTGGATTGCACATTCGCCAGAAGTTTCAATGAACATCCGAACAGCTCAAGTCTGTGTACGTTGATTTGCAATACTTCCGTAGAAGGTCATCCAAATTTCCTGCAGAACATCTTTCTTTGTTGTTGGAATGATTTACTCCCTTTTTAATCGCCATAACTCTTCCTGTACAGTATTTTGGGTCAGCAGCTTCCATTTAAGCGTAAACATCGTGGTGTTGTATCCAATTCACGGTCCCTGCAGGGGCACCCAACGAGAATAGAGTTCAAAACCGCTTAAACATAGCATTGTTAAACGTATTTTAGTATTTAAACGGTAGATAAAGGCACATTTTTATCCCCTAAAAATGTTTCATCTGTTCGGATTTCCTAGCTGAAAGTCTAGTGATCCGAAAATTATAGGGATCAAAACTTACCTTTTCGAAAATTTCAGCCAGAAAAAAGGCTCCCGAAAATTCTAGGTGACCTTTTTAGGGTAAAAATCCGTTAAAAATAGGCAATTATACCATTTTTTGGATGTTCGAAAATCCTAGGAGAGGCAGGCAATCAAGAAATTTTACAACAAATGTTTCGAAAATTCTAGATCTCAAATCGTCTTCCGAACAGATATTTTTCCGAAAATTGTCGTTGGGTGCCCCTATCCCTGGTCACGTATATCGAAAACTTCACGCCTAAACTTGAAGCGTGAGGTCTCTCGGACGGAAAAAAGGTTCAAGATTGCGATTATATGTTTTTGGGTTGTCGACAACGTTGTAGAGAAGAAAGTCCTGAATGGATTTGTGAAAGCAGATGTCGTCAAGTAAGTGTTCGTTTACATGTATTTGCGGGATTTTTTTACCCTTAAACCTTTCAACAACTACATGTACAGTTTATGCTCGGTCTGCATTTTAGCCCAGCCTGCGTTTTACTCCTAGTATGCAGTCTGCATTTTACACTCAGTCTGCATTTTACCCCTGGTCCGCAGTCTGCAGTCTGCAGTCCGCAGTCTTCATTTTACACTGACCGAATTAGATACTGTTTTACTGAGTGGAGTAACATGATATGAGCAGAAATATATTTCGGCAGTTTGATAATTTTCTTGGAAGTAAATAAATGTTAGGCTATCAACCTTGACGTTGCATGAAACATAATTTAATTGCAGATTTTGTAATGAAGCCGAGGTGGTTTCTTGAAATCGTAGGGATAATTTTGTAGTAAACAATTTGCGTTTTTTTACGTACGAATTGTAAAAGGGCCAAAGGCCAACATCTTCACGTGCAAATTGTGTGCATGAGTTATTTTTATAATTCTGTTTGCTAGAGTACCGTGTGATAACTCGAATTCCCCCACGTACGAACCACGAAAGGGGGCAAAGTCCAACACTTTCACGTGCCAATTGTGTGACTGTACATCTCATGCAGATTGGCTTTTCACAATAATAATAGTAACTTGAACGTTTGAAGACCTGTTTCGTTTTGTAACCAATGCCTGAAAAAAGGCTCTTGTCTTTTAAGAAGCAATAGCTTTTAAAACATGAAGAAATAAGTTGTCGGAGTTAAGGACTGTTTCACTGAGTAGAATTGCACGTGAAATCCTCGTGAATTGTGATGATGCAACCATCTACCACAATGATAAGAATCCTGGTATTTCGTAACTACTCGAATTCGATGAGTCACGTTTTGGCTTAAGAAACTCCGAGGAAACCTTAGAGTTTTCCTTCTAATCAACGTTTGGTGAGTAGATATTTATTTTACTTTAATAATTTGTTTAACTTGCACCAAATGTAACAGGGAAAGACAGAGGAAAGTGAATATATAGCATGAGGATCGACGCAGCTGAGCGTTTCGCGTTTTCATTTATGTACGGCAATACCTAATTCCGCACAAAAACCCAGTCTACATTTAGGACGAAAAAGGTAGATTCATCACTCTTGGTAAGGTTACACTGAAGCATTAAAGTTACACTGAAGCATTCAAAATAGCTCATGCACGTTTAACGCGCCTATGTTATAAGAACATGTTACAATTTTCAGGCTGATCTTGTTCTTATAATCAAAGAAAGACTATCGTCAACTCGTAGGTACGTTGTTTAGAAAATAATCAATTAGATATCACCTCTGGTTCTCCCACAGTAAATTTTAGGAAATGATAGAAATTTAGATTATAAATATACTATCCTTGTTCTGGAAACACAATACTTTTCTTGCTGTTTATTGCACTTTATTAGCAGTTATTTAGGTATATATTTAAAAACAAAAAAACAAAAAAAAACAGCAGAACAAAAAAGCAAACAAAACAAAACAAAAAAGAAAAAAAAAAGGAAGAAGGGAAAAAGAAGGTGAATAGAAGAATTTGAACCCGGTGCCTCCGAGTTGACCCGACCTCACATAGCCATTACGCCATTGAAGATAATCTCGTGGTTTGGTGAAAAGTCTCAAATTTAATGCGTTTTCCACGGAACTTCCGCCCGCAAACGATCGAACCATACTTAACCGATTGAAAAAACGACTCGAAGCAATTGGATGAAATTAAGGCTAATCGAAACCAGGCTACTGACAGTAAAAAACAATGTAAACGCATTTCATGGCAATGAAAGAACATATGCGATACAAAGCCGACACAACTCCTCCGCGAAGTAGGACGCAAAACACAAGCTTATGTTTTCTTATCTCGATTTCCGCTGTCATTTTAAAGCTAATGCTCAAAATCGCATCCATTTCCCCCCGAGACCTTGAGGAGCACTTAAGAAGAAGAAGAAGAAGTGCCTTTATTTACCATACATTCATTCATACACATAACCCACTACATTACTACAAGATAGGAGATCAATCCAGCCTCGAAGTTGAAAGAGTCGAAGAGCAAATGCTCATCTTCTCGTCAAGTTTAACGCCTGGACGAGTCAAAGGCATTGCCAGAAATTAGGGACAAGATGGCGGTTGCGCGTGCGCACTAAGGCCACAATGGCTGCGAATTCGTATAAGAAAATGTATGGAGATAAGGAAACTTTTTCAAATATATCGATTATGAGCTCACGGGTGTTCGGTGCCCGACTCGAAACATGTTAAGTGCTGTGCAACCCTCGCATCTGGGTTAAAAATAGCTAATTAGAAGTAGGTTTACTTACTTCCTGACGTGGCCACTTTTATTCCTTGTTGTACGCTCCATTTCTCCATACATTGTCTTAAAATCTTGCCGAAGTCATGCGAAATACTCGTCGATTAGAGGATAAACCCTTCACTGAAGTAAATTTGCCCGACTCGATATCACTTCTGCGATGGAAGATGTTTCCAAAACAGTCGTTAAAAGGACGATTTTTGCACTGCAAAATACTTCCAAAGGCGCATTATTTCCCTCAGTTTTCCATCTGTAGTCCAGTAATGGACGCCATGGTTGCGAATGACACATTTCGGTCGGACACAGCTTCACAACTCCAAACCCCACAGAATCGCCATTTTGTTTGTTGCTACAACTCCAGAGATGCTTCACGGGATATAAACTACGTTCCAGGCATTCAAAAATCCTCGATTAGCCTACCAGGCTTGGTTTTAAAACAAAATTGTCACGAAAATGTCACGCAAGGTACATCCGCGTACTGTTTTGTTGCTATCAGCCGCTCGGCCGCGTATAAACCTAACATTTTCTTGCAAGGTGTTTAATTCCAGCTTTTTTCTTCGTAAAACAGATCCACAGAGCTCAAATTATTTAAAAAATCGCAAGGGATACGCTTTCCCTGACTACGATAGTTTTTGTCCGCCATTTTAAAAATGAGATTCCGCTGACAATTGATCACGGGCGCGGAATGTCCACGATTTCTGGCAATGCTCTTGAATCGTACTAATCTGAAAGATTCCTGCGTGTCTTAAATTTGGTAAGACCTCTATCCTCTAACCGTGCTGTAGCACACGATGCACGCTCTCAGCGAGGAATTTGATGCCACCGAACTTCGGCGAGCGCGTGCTTCTTTGGAAACGATAGCCTGCATGACAGGCGCTTTATGAGCCAAGCGGGGCGAACGCGATATTTCGCGCGGAGCGCGACACGAGCGCGAAGCGCGAGACGAGGGAAAGAGAAAAATAAAGCTTTATTTTTCTCTTTCCCTCGTCTCGCGCTTCGCGCTCGTGTCGCGCTCCGCGCGAAATATCGCGTTCGCCCCGCTTGGCTCATAAAGCGCCTGTCATGCAGGCTATGGAAACGATAGATCTTCGCGCTCTCGAGTTCGGACACGATTAATTACGAAGTGCGTCTACAACGAGTGAGCGAGTGACTCATTTGCATATCCCTGTCCCTGCAATAACTCGTGATACGCTCGCGCGTACCCACGAGTTAAAAATGGGGCTTTACTGGCCAAATTTCAGCCTGGTGTTCTTAATCCATTTGTTCTTATATGCGGGTGCAGTTTACTGTATTTTGACCTAAAACATAAAAGGTAAAATTCCATATATACTAAAGCCCAAACCTCAGTGCCAAAACACTAGGGTGTTCCCTGTGGTACTTGCTGTAAATTTCAGTCTGACCCCTGATCTGCAATCAAAATCCTTCTCTATTTAGTTAAAAATTAAATTCACAAGCATATTTGTGGATGGTTAATGCTTCTACCAAAGCCAGATTTTACACTTGTAGCCATGATAATTTTACTAATTTTTTCTTGTGGTCATGGCAACTGTGTTACTTATCATAGTTGCTTAGGAATTTTTTTTTGCTCATAAATATTCAAAATTTAATTTAATTCTCCAGGTTGTGTTAAGCCATTTCGACTTAATGTCATGCAAGCAACAAAGAGAAGGAGAGACGTGGCTGAAGACTCAGATGAAGAAGGTAATTTCTATGGTTAGAAAATGACCCTCCTAGACATGAAGCTAAAAATGAAAATGTGATCGCTCACTGTACAATGTAAGGCTATTGCAACCTTGGTCATAATTGCTGGGACGTTGGACACTAGTGAGTACATTTGGCTGAACCCATCCCTCCTCACAAAGTTGGGAAGAACCCACTCATTCTTAAGCAAGTGAGTGATTATTCCGTTTAAAAGAAACTTTTGCATGTGGACCAACCGTAAGAGAACTTTTTGTTAGGGGCTAGTTATATGAAGGCAGAAAGATTATAGACCTAGACAGACCTTAGAGGGGGGAGCAACTTGTCATTTGGTGAAAACATGCAAGGTTATGGCAGTTAAAAGTTAACCTGATCAGGTTAACTTTTAACTGCCTTTCAACAGAGGCTCTTTTGGCTAAATCTGGCAGTTTGTTTTTACTCATTTTACTGTGAAGCTGGAAAACGTGAAGCCCATCTTCCTCCAATGTCTAGTTATCTTTCACGACATTCAGAAGAATTGGTGCCGTTGTATTAGTGCATGCTGCTTTCCTCTGTACGTGTATCTCAGTATCTCTGAAGTGGGCCACTTATATTTTTTAACAAAACCTGTCCCAATATTATACCCTCAATCAGAAAATACCAAAATAATACTTCAATGATGACAGCTAGACAAAACTGTCCTCCACTTTCAGTTAGCACAGAAATATTCAAACATTCAAATACTCATGCCACAACTTCCATCTCTGATGATTCAAAAAGGTATACAGGTTTTGCCAATTTGTACAATGAAGGCCACGTTTTTAAGCTGAAACTTTGGGATTTTAACATTTAAAATTTTGTGTACTGTTTAAAGGAATGTATTACAATGACTGTGAGTTTTTTGAATGGCTTCAAAATCTCTGATATATATTTCAACTCATTCTTGCTCTAATATTTAGATTTGGGGTTATTTTGGTCTTAAAAATTGGAAGTAAAGTTTAGCTGTGTCTTTATCAGATATAAAGACCCTCATTAAACATTAATTTATTTTGTTTTTTATTTATGAATTTAGCACTGGAAATAAGTTTTTTTTAAAATGAATTTATCAGTCAGTAGGTGCACAGACACAGCAAAAGAAGAAATTCAATTATTACTAACAGTACAGTCTTATTGGTTATTGCTATAATATATAGTACAATATAATATTCCTGGTGCTATAAAGATATTGTGCTTATTTCCAGTGCTTATTTTCGCTATTTCTATTTCACTTTTTACATTTAGTTCATTTCATTTGCCGGAAAGTAAGCCTTAGAAATTAAAAGGACGTTTGATCAATTCACGCTCGCGCATTCCAGTCTTGTTTTAAACTTTATAGCGGAAGGACATCTGTGAGCAGGGAATAAGTCAGCACAGAATTTGATGGTCGGCGAATTTCTGTAATCGTCCATCGTTCTGCTAGTGATAAGCTGGCCGTTGAATCATTCGCTCGTCTTGCTTGTTTTGGGCCGAGTCTTATTTCGGTCAAAGAGAGAGAAAGAGTGTCTGGCAAGGTTCAGCTGAAGGTTTCCGATCAAAGATTTGTGAACTCTTGTCTGGCAAACTCACTTAGTGTTAAAATATACACTGTTCTACGCACCTAATAACTTCATCTGCGCTTAACGAGTGTCTTTTGGTCCATAACTTTCATAACAACTGCTCCACAGAATGTCACTGATAACACGTAGCGCAAAAGAGTATCGAAGTGTGACTGCACAATTAATGTTACAAAATCTACCTATTGTAAGCTGTTCTTTCGGGATTTTTTGTGTTTTACGTCATCATCCTAACCATTTCGTACTTGCGGGCGCAAACAATAGGAACGTCATCATTACCTACCGATTCCTCGCGGCCCCTGTTCAAGGAAATCGAGATTTTTTCTATGTTGACCGAATGACTGTATATTTCAACTGTAAGTACTTTCCTTAATATACGCGCGAGTTACTAGAGTGCCTCTTCGGGATTTCGCCTCCTGGGCGAAATCCCTGCCGGGGTAATTATTATTATTAGCTCATCGTTAATTATTTTTCCTCCACTGATCAGAATCCAAGATATTCAAATCTTCTGAGGATACAACTCGCAGATCAGAGGGCAGTGATTGTAACACTCCCCGTATTACCGCTGGTCTCACGTCTATTTCAAAGAATACTGCAAGCAGCACAAAGAACCAAAGAACCACATCGAAGAGAAAGAGAAAGAAGAAAAGAAAGAGAAAAAGAAAGGAAAGGACTCCAAAAGAGTGCATTAGGGACCCTCCAGAGCTTATCAGAACCAGACTCTCAAAACATGCTGATCTTCCTGTTGATCTTTTGTTACCGACAGTGAAGAATGGTGAGTTATTAGCTTTTTACAGTGAGCTAAAAAACCCCTATATATGTAATTTTATGATCTTGGTTATGTGTACTTTTCTGATGCGAGTGAAAGTCAAGAGAAAGTTAAAGTTGCATTGTTAAGATGTAACAAAAGTGGTCCTGGTGGTTCTCTCATCTCTGTTAAGAATGCTGCCACTGTGCTAAGACCTAAAGCAGTTATATCTGTTGGTGCATCTCATCCTGAGAAAGTTTAGACTGAATTGGTGCAGCTCTTATGAGTGATAGGAGTTTTCAAACAATGTCTACCATTTGTGTGATTAGTTCAGATAGTGAATGTGTTCCCTTGGTATTGGACAAGCCTCACTGAATTTTGTTGAAGGTGGAGATAAACGAATATTTCAACAAACCGCATCGTACGCCCCCACGACCCATGTTTCTTGTAAGCTTTGTCGGTAATCGGTATATCTTGATTTAGTATTTACCAAACAGTGAATAGCAATTTTTCCGCGTTTTGATTTGCCCCCGTAACTCGGAATATCCTTGGCTATTCACTGTTTTGCGATCGGAGCCAAGAAGGCGTCTCGTTTCAAGACACTTTTTTAAATGAAGCAGTCGTACAAACAAATACCAAGTAAGCGACGAACTTTTGCTTTTCGGTGTTTACTGATAGGTAGAAAATTATTTTCTTGCCGAATTTACAGCAAAATCATACAAAAGCACTAGACAAAATCCCCGAAATGTTTGTAAATTGTAAACAAAGTTCGCACTAAGTGACGTTTTTAGTTTACAAAGTTACTTTTTTCATTTTAATTCTACTGATTTGGTGAATACTAAAACAACTAACCCCCTCAAGGTCGATGAACAGCGCTAGATATTTACCTCGACGCTTTGCGACTCGGTATATACAGCTATTTTGAGAAAGGTTGTCGGAAAAAATGTGCACTCGACAATCCCGAAAGGTAATATGGGATATGATCAATACACTGTTTCTGACACTGTAACTGTCGAACCTACTTTTGCTGCTTTCTTTAAGCACTCGCAAAAAAGTCCATGACCTCTCCTGTCATTCTTTTAAACTTCTTTAAAGAACAGTGAACTCAAAAACAACCCACAATACCTTTCGGGATTGTCGCGTGCACTTTGTCCGACAACCTTTCTCGAAATAGCTGTATATCCACCATTAGTAAAATCCAACTAGTGATCTGTTATCAATGCTGCGTTCTTGATTGGCTGAGCTACTACTAGGCTATATGTTATAGCCCACTAGAAGCGAAAAGCGTCGGCTTTGAAAACCAAAACAATAGCCGCTGATCCGCGTTTTGCTAGCTAAAGTTGTTTTGTCTCGATATTTTTGACCAACTGGTTGGATTTTACTAAAACAATTATTCCTCGAGCCCATTATCACTTGCTTTATCACTAATTTTCTTTTTAATATTCCGTGTAAGATTTTTACCATGATACTATACGTATTTTATCTTTTCCTGTGATAGTATAATCATAATGTTATCAGAATGTTTAATGAAGGATTTCTTCTTTTCCCCGATGTGAACGATTTTGATGTCATCATGATATATCAATCAGTCATTTTGTCTGTTTTTCTTTGTTATTATACATTGTACTCACTGTCTGTCTTCTCATTGGCTGAGAGCTTACAGTTAATTTTGGAAATCAGCGCAACCTACAGATTTATACAGTCAACTCTCGCCTTGCGGACACCCCGCTATTGCGGGCGCTCGCTATTACGGACAAAATACAGATCCCCAGCAAAAGCTATAGGGGTTTGACTGAAAATGACTCCAGCTATTGCTGACTCTCTCTATTACGGAATTACGGACACTTTCTTGGTTTCGAAGTGACAATTTTATTGTTTTGACTCTCGATAAAGCGGACACTCTGTACTTCTCATGTAACATTGTTATGTAAAATTACAGTCTACTGTTTATCATTTGCCAAAATGCATTTCAAAAGATTTCTGGAATGTTTATTTTCACGTCGATTCCTTAAATTGTTTGCACAATCGTCCTCACTTCTTCACTGGAGCTTGCGCTTTTTTGTTCCCGGCTCTCTAGGAGAGCTCAAGGCTGCTTAGCAGTTTCGGTACTGTTGATAAGTTCGTCCAGTCTTGGAAGGTATTTTGGGTCGCCATACAGCATAAGTAGCACATTTAACACACATTTAAGATTTAAGAAAACCTTACGAACGTAGTTAATTGCCCCCGCTGGGATTTCGCTCAGAAGCCGAGGAGGCACTCTAGCAACTCGCGCGTACATTAAGGAAAGTACTTACAGTTGAAATATACAGTCAGTATGCCAGAAAAAATCTCGATTTGCTTGAACAGGCACAGGGTCCAGAGGAGTTCAGGGAGTTTCGTATGAATAAATGAATTACTTAGTCTCACCTTAGAAAATGTCTATACCTGTCGCTTAGCACGATTAATTAGCCCAGTGGGGATCTTTATGAATCTGCTGTAAACGATTTCTTCGCTTCTTATTTGACCCAGATCACCTTTGTTGTTCGCCATTTTGAAAATCAATAACCGCAAGCCATATCCTCGCTGGCGCACGGCACGTCGCCCGAAGAGCGACCGGACGCGATCAAAATAACCAAGAGCCATAATTATGGCTCTTGAAATAACCCATTTTTCGGAGGATTTCGACGGGTTTTGATGTTCTAACGACAAACAAATCTCCTTTGGACCCTGTGGAACAGGGGCCGCGAGGAATCGGTGGGTAATGATGACGTTTCTATTGTTTTTGCCGGCAAGTGCGAAATGGTTAGGATGACGTAAAGACAGAAAATCCCGAAGGGACCGCTTAGGTAGATTTTGTGACATTTATTGTGCAGTCGTACTTCGATACTCTTTTGCGTTACGTGTTATCAGTGACATTCTGTGGAGCAGTTGTTTTGAAAGTTATGGACCAAAAGACTTTCGTTAAGCGAAGATGAAGTTATAAGTTGCGTATAACTGTGTATATATAAACACTTGGAGAGTTTGCCAGACGCAAGTTCACAAATCTTTGATTGGAAACCTCGCCAGACACTCTTTCTCTCCCTTTGACCGGAATAAGGCTCAGCCCCAAACAAGCAAGACGAGTGAACAACGGCTAGCTTATCAGCCGACAATCAAATTCTGTGCTTACTTATTCCCTGCCCACAGATGTCTTTCCGCTATAAAGTTTAAAATACGATTAGAATCTGCGAGCGTGAATTGATCAAACGTCCTTTTAATTTCTAAGGCTTACTTTCCGGCAAATAAAATGAATTGAATGTAAAAAGTGAAAGAGAAATAGCGAAAAATTCAACTTCTAATGAAATCTTTTCTTATGGTTTACTGAATAAACTATTTTCGAAACTGCGAATGTTTTGATCAAAGCTGTGTAAATTGAACAGAAACTGTACATGGAACCTTGCGTTTCCTGTTCAGTTTTATCTCACCTCCTGTATGGAGTATATGTCAAAATCTTCATTATCAATCGGACGGGTATAGAGCTACTCAACGAGCAAGAATACTATTGACCGACAATATACAGAGCGGGGGCAGCTGTAGTGTCAACTATTACCAGTAATATTATTGTATGTTAACAGCACTTTTTTTCTCGCACCCCGTTATTACGCAGATTACGGACTCTCGGTATTACGGACATAAAACCGTGGTCCTTAGGGTGTCCGCGGGAGTTGACTGTAGTTAGTTATCTGCTAGCAGTTAACTAACTAATCTGTAGGTTGCGCGCTTTGCATGCTTTCCAATAACAGTATCAATTCAGGTTCCTTGCGACGGTGTGCGTTATTTTCTTCAAAGCGATGTATAATAAAACAATTATGTTACATTCGGTTTCTGTGATGTCCTGTATAATCAAGGTTTCGGTAAGTGTTATCACTCTCAACCTTTGGCTCGGCTGATAACACTTACCTCGACTTTGATTATTCCGGATATCACAAAAACCTCATCCAATAATTGTTTACTATATGGTAAAATCACTTGACTAAGATTTGAGATTGTTAGTGGTTCATGGTTGATGGATTACTATTTAACAATTATTCCTCGAGCCCGAATGGGCTCTGAGTCAATAGCCGATGAGGCCGAAGGCCAAATGGGCTATTGACTCAGAGGCCGTGAGGGCGAGAGGAATAATTGTCTCTTAGTAAAATCCAACTAGTTGGTCAAAAATATCGAGACAAAACAACTTTAGCTAGCAAAACGCGATTCAGCCGCCATTGTTTCGGTTTTTCAAGCCGGCGCTTTTCGCTACTAGTGGGCTGTAACATATAGCCTAGTAGTAGCTCAACCAATCAGAACGCAGCATTGATAATAGACCACTAGTTGGATTTTACTAATCTGAAATATACTTTTCCATGCTATTTTCATTTGATAGCGGTATTTTGATGTTTTAGTTAACCACTTTTTCAAGTAAATAATGATAAGCGATTGTTTCTCCAGCAGGGCCACAGCAACAAGAGTATAAGGACCTTCGAACCGAAAGGCGACCATCAACCTCTTCATCCAGCAACGCTTCACTTGACTCGTCATTCAACCTCACTCAAACAAACGAAGAAACCCTAGCCGCTCCTTTCATCGAACGTATGAAGAAACATGTCCGAGATGTCACTGAAAAAACTTACGGAGATCTTAAATCACCTTTTCATAATCCAGGCGAAGGACCTAGAAGAGATCTAAAACTTGACGAAATCTTCACCAATTTGATTGTTTATGAAGGGAGAGCTAAGTATGACTTTTCAGGAGACAGAGTGAAACAGCTAAACGAGTACCACAAAGCCAATGAAAATTTACGACCAACACTGCCAGGGGATCTTTTTGATGCTGAAGGGCGGAGGATCCTTGTTGTTGGTCGTCCTGGAATTGGAAAAACTATGTTTAGCACAAAGATTCTTCGCAACTGGGCTTGTGATAACTTATTGAACGGATCACAAAAGGATTTTAAAGCTGCTTTTCTCATCAAGCTAAGGATGTTTAACTCTAGAATCAAAGAACTAAATCTTCGCGAGCTCCTTGATCACTCAGAATATTCAACAGCTCTTTCCAGAGATTTCTGGGACTACATCCGTGAAAACCTAGAGCGAGTATTGGTGATTTTTGATGGAGTTGACGAATATTCTTGTAGGACTGAAATAAATAAAGATGACGTTCCTTACATAAACGATGAAGAAGAAAGGATGCCTGTCCATTTTCTACTGAAGAAAATAGTATCAGGAAAAATTCTTACACGTGCCACAGTCTTAACGACTATAAGACCCAATGCCGTACGATGTATCACAAGTCTTCACTTTGACAAAACAGTTGAAATACTTGGATTCTCAACTGAGCAAGTAAATGATTATGTACAGAAGTTTACAAAGCACGAGGACAGAGCTCAAACCATAAAGCAACACATCACAAGTAACTTAAACCTTCTAGCCTTCTGCTACATTCCTGTGAATTGTTTCATCATTTGTTCGTGCTTGTCGGAGTTGCTTTGCAACACTAGATTAACCAGCCTCCCGACAAGACTGACAGAAATATACTCAATTGCCGTAAGGATGTTTTACTTAAGCTACGATGATGATCAATATCGCCACAATAAAACAGAAGGTCAACAATTTTTTCTTAAGCCGTTCAAGGAACTTCCTTCCTCTGTGCAGAATGTGTTCACATGTCTGGGAAAAATTGCTTTTGATGGAATTAAAAAAGGAAGACTAATTTTTGAATCACACGAAGTTAACGACCTAGAGAGTAATGGCCTGTTTCACCGTTTACCTGATTTTAGAAACCGTCCTTTAGCAGAGGGAAGAGCGCAATATTGCTTTTTACACCTGACCATACAGGAGTTCTTGACGGCGAAGTATTTGGTAGACACACTGAGTTCCGAACAACTACAGGATTTTGTCTCCGCTCACATCAAGGAAGGCGCGTGGAAGGTTGTGCTGCAGTTTGTGGCTGGACTGCTGGCTGAAAAAGAAGGACAATCAACTGATTGGTCGCTGATTTTCAGCGACCTCCTTCCCTGGGAAACGGATACTAAAGAATTTGAAATCAAGCCGGGTTTGGATGAAGACTCAAAGGAACCAACTGAAACACTGACCTATTGGCCAGCTGGTGAAGACAAGGCTTTAGTGGTGACGCTATTCAATTGCATGTATGAGAGCAATGCCTCTGATCGAAAAGTTCAAGAGAAACTGGCGAAAATTGGTTGTAATGCGCTTAATTTTAGTAAGTGTTACCTGTCACCTCTCGACTGTTTAGCATTAGTGCATACACTTAAATCTGTTGAAGGAATTTTGTATTTTGATTTAAACAACAATAACTTTCAGTTGCTAGGATGTATTGAGATTGCGAAGTTGTTACCTGGCAACGAACACAATCAGGGTTTTTGCGAACTGAAAAGTTTAAACCTCGCTTATAACCAAATAACTGATGAGGGTGTTGAACATTTATATACAGCACTCACACACACTAACTGCAAACTAAACAGCTTAAACCTCGGGGATAACAACATAACTGATGAAGGTGTTAAACTTTTATCTACAGCGCTCACACACACTAACTGCAAACTAAAAAGCTTAGACCTCGGGGATAACAACATAACTGATGAAGGTGTTAAACTTTTATCTTCAGCGCTCACACACACTAACTGCAAACTAAACAGCTTAGACCTCGGGGATAACAACATAACTGATGAAGGTGTTAAACATTTATCTGCAGCACTCACACACACTAACTGCAAACTAAACGGCTTAAACCTCTATAATAACAACATATCTGATGAAGGTGTTAAAAATTTCTCTACAGCACTCACACACACTAACTGCAAACTGAAAAGCTTAGACCTCATGGATAACAACATAACTGATAAAGGTGTTAAACTTTTATCTACAGCACTCACACACACTAACTGCAAACTAAACAGGTTAGACCTCTGGAATAACAACATAACTGATGAAGGTGTTAAACTGTTATCTACTGCACTCACACACACTAACTGCAAACTAAACAGCTTACGCCTCGAGTATAATCAAATAACCGAGAAAGGTAGAAATCTCTTAAAGTCACTGAAAATAAACTGTAAAGTATTTATCTAAGCCTTGTTTGCAATGTAAATGTTTCCCTGTTGAAGGAATTTTGAATTTTGATTTAAGCTTCAACAACCTTCAGTCGCTAGGGTGTATTGAGATTGCGAAGTTGTCACCTGGCAACGAACACAATCAGGGTTTTTGTGAACTAAACAGATTAAACCTCGCTTTTAATCAGATAACTGATTAACACCACACTAACTGCAAACTAAACAACTTAACGCTCAATCAATATTGCGTTTTCTAAGCTTAAAGCTCAATAAGATAACTGATGGATGTATAAAATGCCGCTTCACTAGCAGCGCTCACACGTACTAACTGCAAAAGAAACAAAGCTTAGACCTTAGAGCCAACAAAATAACCCAGGAAGGGAAAAATCTCTCAAAATCAAGGAAAACAAACTATAAAGTATTTATCTAAGCAAGTGTAAATATATTTTTCTGAACAGCAATAATTTGAGCTACATTCTTTGAAATTATATTTTCGATTTTTTTAAAAAAAATAGTTAGGTCAGGTAGCTCCTAAGCAATCTCGAAGCTGTTAGATTTCTGTTTATATATTGCTTTGTTTTGTTTTGTTTTTTCATAATAATAGTGTGGGTTTTTCTGAGAAGAGAAAGTTTGTTTGGTCATTTATATAGCTTTACATAGCAACAGGGTATGATTTAAACAAACCAAAAGAACTAAAAGCAGAAAAGGTTTAGAATAGATTACAGTTTACTAACTCCTAAAAAATCTCCACTTATCGTGAGGCCTAGCGTTAATAACAATGTGTATTAATGACCCATAATGCCGGAAGACTGGAACAAATTACTGGACATTTACATTCAACTTAGATAACTGAACATACAGCTACATATGAAGAAATTTTCCCATAGGAAGGTAATAAGTATAATGTGATATAATGCTCCCACATTAAGCGTCACCTTACAATTATATTTTGCAGTTATTGCTATCTAAAAGTGACTGATACATCGTGTTTAGCTTTCCCGCAAGTATTCATCCTTGTATATAAGTTTAGTTTTTGAAACGATTAAAGTTCTGTTAGACCAATATTATAGATGTCTGCCTGGCCTCCCTCCTTGGTAAATCAATCTGTGCAATCAGTCAATCAATCATTTATTTTAACACGTTACGTCAAAGAGCTAAAAAACTCGTTCAAAATACGAACATGTATAAATAAAATCTATAATAATTACAGCTGTGTTATAATATAATATTATTCAATATTAAAAACAACTCAATAGATATATACATGTAAAAAACTTGGCAATAAAAACAAAAAATATAAAAGCTAAAACCGACTAAAAAGCCTCATACTAAAAACGTGTTTTGGAAAACTATGATAGTCGTCCTAAAAACAGTTAAAAGCTACAATCGTGCACTATAAGACACGTTCTAAAAAGCTGCAATCGTGCAATTTGTATAGGTAATCACATGATTTCGAGTGCAATTTGGAATAAATAAGCACGAGTAAATTTTTCAAAGACCAACAGAAGTGCACGAGCCCGTAGGGCGAGTGCACTTTGTGGCCTTTGAAAAATTTACAAGTGCTTATTTATTCCAAATTGCACGAGAAAAATCATGTGATTACTTATTAATAATATACACGAAAAACTTAACTACAACAACAAATTTTGACAGGGCGCGCGTTTTTAGTTCATTCAACTGATTGGCTGAAACAGACTACTACCTTTGTCAAATTCAAACTTTTTCAAGACCAACGCTTTCAAAATCATTTTAGCTAAGAACCTGGAAATGTGCAAGGATTGATTTTATATGGTCACCAGCCTGTTAAAGATAACTTGGTTTACAATAATCAGCAAAAGTAAGTGTTTTTAAATTCATCCTCGATTATGAGAGCTCGGCGTTTACAAGAAGTATACTGCCGTTTTCAAATCAGGAGAACGCTTCGCGCACCCAAAGATGAAAGACTTGCTAAGGTTTTTTAACGACTGTTCATTATTATCTGTTCCTGAGACCCCATCATAGCTGGATTCACGGAGAAATTTTTGAGATTTAAAATCCGAAAGTGAAGGAGGCAATTTGTTTTCTTTCGACGCTGCCATCGATGAGTGAGTGGAGCCACAGTTGTTGTGATGTCGGAAACTGCCAGTATTAATACAAAATTTGCTTTTTCTCAGCGCTTGGGTTTTCATTATTTCATGCAAGAGTCATCGTAGCTCTTCTTCGTCGACTTCGTCGTAGTAGTTAAGGAAATTCATGCCTCTGTGGCCTGTGACATTGGCGATATGTTCTGAACTTACAATCTTTGCTTTCTGTAGCTTCCTGAATGTTGTTTTTCTTGCACAATGACTCGTAAACTTTTTTCTCACTTTCTTTAAGGCTAGTACCAGCTACGGATACTTTCATTATGTTAGTTATGGTATTTTCGCCCATTGGTTTAGTTTGGACCAGATGTTTAAATTTTCGGTTTCGTTTGATACTGAGGTAGAAAAAAACAGACCATCGCATGGATGTTTTAATAGAGGTCTTCTCTCCACAAAAGACTCAAAGACAGCAACCGGACACCTTTCTCCTCCAACAAATAACGTAAGTGACTTGAAATCCCTGTTGTTATCATCGAAAACTTGTATCCTTGTTCATTTAAATGCCTGAAAAGTGTAGCGGTCATGGTTTGCATCTGGTTGCAACCGTAATTATTCTTTATTTTTTTACTTTAGCGTAGTCTTTTATAAATAGTTTGTTTTTTAGCTACTCTGGTTCATTTTCCTCGATTTTGTTGACAGTATTTTTCTCTTAGCAACGCATTTTCAATACATTTAACCAGAAAGACGAACTTTTTACTGTGTTCGGGTTTTTGGAATAACTTTTCTATTGTTGGTTTGCGTACAAAATTAAATCCCGTCGTCGTCTGCTGTAAACCATGGCCATTTTCTTGAATTTTGTTGCTAAAACAGCTCTAATCTGATTGGTTCTTGGTGGTTTCTTTTGTGTTTTCAGCCAATCAGAAAGCATTTGTAATTTGCACTCGTGTTACACATTTTGCACTCGTGTTACAGAAGAGCTGCACTCCTTTCTCAGCCAATCAGAATTGAGTAATATTTTCGTGTATATTATTAACTTCTGAAGTCATTAGAATCACTTGAAAGACGCACTTGAGAAGGCAAACTGTTCCATAACTTAGTTAATGAATAAGTGAAAGAACTCTTCTTAAATTTAAGATTAAAGTTAGGTAATTCCAAATTCAAGCCCCAGCCTCTTAGCCTATACGGTGTATGCCTGTATTTAAAAAGGCTTCCAATATAAGTAGGTCCCGTACCATTTAAGCATTTGAAAAGAAGTATTAATGCCTGGTGTAAGCGCCTACAATATAAGGATTTCATGCTAGCCGTAGTGAGCAGCTCGTCGTATGATATTGACTTGTTGTGCCCGATTAAGGTTCTCAAAATATAACAGTTGCCATCTTCGAGACAGTTCAGTGCGTTGACCTGTACCTATGCCTACAAACAAAGGACTGCAGTATTCGAGATGAGGTAATATAAAAGCTTTATAAAGTTTTATCATTGCATCATGAGGAAGAAAACGCCTTATTCTTCTCAGTGCAGAAGCCTTCGCGTAGGCTTTCTTTAGTTGATCTGATATGTGTTCTTTATAGGATAGGTCCTTGTCTAGAGTAACTCCAAGAATCTTAATAGATCGGAGAAATTCTATTCTAGCATTATTAAGAAATAAAGAATAATGATAGGCACAGGGTACGACAGATAAATAATATGCTTGAGTCTGAAGATCTTTGTTGAAGGAAAATTCTAGAATGGTGGGAGATACATCAGACAGGTAGGCAGTCGTGTCATCAGCGTACAGCCGCAATGACATTAGGAACACAGAAATTCAAGTCATTAATGAATATGTTGAACAGCAACGGCCCCAATAGTGAACCTTGAGGAACGCCAGATTTAACTGTTTTGAAGTTAGAGCATACGCCTTCTAATCTGACACATTGTTGACGACCTAGCAGGTAGGTGAACATCAGTTCCAAGGCATGTGCAGAAAAGCCATAAGCCTTCAACTTCGCGAGCAGAAGGCTGTGGTTTATGGCGTCAAACGCTTTGCTGAAGTCCACAGCGACCGCCGCTACGGCTTCCTTGTAATCAATACTGTTCCTCCAAACTTCCGTCATTTTTAGCAATGCAGTGAAGCAAGAGTGAGTTTAAGTCATAGTTGATTTTTTTGAAGGATATTCGAGCATGCAAAAACATAACAGAAGATTGAAGTTTGTCACCCAGACAGTGATAATGGCTCTGTGTAGCCTGAGAAAACAGTCGACATTTCGCCATGCCAACACTCGATCTGGTTTTGAGCGCAGAAATTCCATACTAGTGATGTGTCCGTTACCCAGGTCTGATTGGTCGTGCCACGAGGGAAATTTGCTTCAACCAATCAGAAGCACTACCCGGCAGATCTGAGTAGTGTACTTTTTGCGTTTTTATCAACCTCGAATTTGTCTCAGTCCTTAAAAACGCAAAACAAATATTTAACAATTATTCCTCGAGCCCGAATCATTGGGCCCTGAGTCAATAGCCCATGTGGCTGAAGGCCAAATGGGCCAAATGGGCTATTGACTCAGAGGCCAGGAGGGCGAGCTAAGAGGAATAATATTGTTTTAGTAAAATCCAACTAGTTGGTCAAAAGTATCGAGACAAAGCAACTTAAGCTAGAAATGCGATTCAGCTGCCATTGTTTTGGTTTTCAGAGCCAGCGCTTTTTGTTACTAGTGGACTATAACATATAGCCTAGTAGTAGCTCAACCAATCAGAACGCAGTATTGATAACAGACCACTAGTTGGATTTTACTAATGTCCAATATCCCACTCATATCGTACATATACATTATTACAGAAAGTGAATCAGCAATCTAGACTGAAAAAGCTTAGTCAGAACTTCTTTGTACTCCAAGATTGTTCTGTCCGGGCTATTTAATGACCAAAACAAAACCTTATCTTGCAGGACCGAGCGGGCAAGATAGCCCCATCTTCCCCACACTGGTAGCCAATCAGAATAAGTGTGGCGCAGTGGCGAGAGCACTCGCCTCCCACCATTGTGTGGCCCGGGCTCGAATCCTGGCATCGACTCCATATGTGGGTTGAGTTTGTTGTTTGTTCTCTCCCATGCTCCAAGAGGTTTTTTCCCGGGTACTCCGGTTTTCCCCTCCCCTTAAAAACCAACATCTCTCCAAATTACAATTCGATCTGGAATGCACGGACACGTTTCAACGAGCTCCTATAAGTTTTCCGCGTTGTACAATTAATGCACGTACCTATCAATGGTTTGCCCCAGGATGGTAGGCGGGTAACCCACGGGAATTAGACTCAGTGAAGCACACATGGGTAGGGCATTTGACATCCTGAACGGCCCCAGGGTGGGAAATTTGACTCAGCTGCCATCTTGGAAAGTGGCGGACCAGGGAATGAGTGATAAGAAGTCTGCCATCGTAGAAAATACCCAGTAGTCATTTGGATGAGTTTCCCACATTTTGATGTCTTCATTTCTTTGTGAAGGATGGCAGAATGAAATTTGCTTTATAAGTGTTTGAAGTTTTATGACAAAAAGTATTTTGTCCCTCAGCATTGAGAAGCATTTCTACTTACATGTTTCCACCAGATGCTGCCCTGCCATAAGTTTTTAATAAAACAAAAGATCAAAAAATCGTATGTAAATACATGAAAGATTCCTAGAATTTTGTGTTAGATTTGCTAGTATACTAAATTAAATGTCAAATTAAATGAAATTCTGGACCACGGTACAAAAAACATCAGCTCTTAACCCTTCTTGATGATGCATATGGCATGTCATGTTCGGGATGGCATTGCACATTTTGCATTGCTGTAAACACTGTGTGAAACAATTCAAAGGTACTTTCGGGAATATAGCATGGGTGTTAAATTGCCAGCCACACCAAATATCCAGCTAGGATATGTCTTGTACACTGGGGGAAATGCACAAAGTTTGTGGGTACCATTACTTTGTCACCAAGTATTATTCCAAGTATTATTCCTCTCTGGAGATGCTCAGTGCTGCAATAAAGACTGTTGTGGGTGCCTATAATAATAGTTTGCCCCAGGGATGGGAATTTGACTCAAACTGGAGACTCAAGGGTGGGGAAATTTACATTTGAAAACTTAAAATGTCAAATTTCCCATGGGTGCCATTTTTTGTGTTGTTTTGTATCCACTTTTATGTTGATCTGTCCACTCTAGTGGTTCTTATCATTCTTTTGCGTTGTTAGATTAGTCCTTGCAGAGCTTTGTCATTTAAAATGTACCAGTGCAAACTTTCACCTCATTCCGGAGGTGTAATCCCTTGAAAACAACAGTCTGTACTGAATAGCAGCTAAGTAATAACTGCACTGGGTTGAAAGATTGGTGACTGCTGATGAGGAGCCGACCATTTGACTTTTGAGGGGTGGTATGGGTGCATGATCAGAAAAAATATCCTGCAGACTGATTTCTAGCCTGCGTAGCTGGCGGTATTGTGTGGGTGCGAGATTAAAGTTTTGGCGGCAGAGCCGTGTTCCAAAAAAAGGGAGTAGGGACGAGGCAGTTGAAATATCGCCTGCCAGAAAACCCCGGCATTTTGAATAGTCCGCTCACCAGTGTGTGGAGAAACAGATTGGTCGAGGGCCATACAAATGTCAATTATGTTAGATGATCCTTCGCATATATTTCTCAATTAAGGGAGCAGATAGCAAACTGGAAAAGACATAAGTGATTGTGGTTTACCCTTTAAAAAGAACATAATTGATTACCAAATTGCCGAAATGGCGTCTTTAAACTTCACAGAGCTGGAATTGTCTTTATTTAGCCGTAAGAAACAAAGGTCAAAGAAAATTAAAACACTTTACAACTGCATCTGAGATCAAATCCTATCAGGAACACCTACAGAAGAATAAACCAAAGAAAATGGTTACTCAGTATGCATGTAACAAACCAGCTTCATGACCTTTTAATGTTAAGCCTAGTGTGGCAAAAAAAGATTTACTTAGTCAAAGTTTAGAATGATACATGCACTGTGTATTGTTAGTAACCTTTGCGCGAGAGCTGAGAAAATAAAAAACCTCTGTTCAAGCAAACTCACAAGGTCACGTTTCACATTATCACGAGCTTAGGAGTCGTGTTTAGCCTGTCAACCCTTATTTCTAAACTGTCTCGCGCGAAGATAATCGGAAGTTTCAAATTGAAAGTTTCTCGTTGATTGGCTGATTGGCTGATTTAATTGCGATCAGCTAAGGTGACAAAAGTGGGCGGCATTCGAAAAATCACGGTTCTCTGGCAAGCGGTATTTCTCGCGGCTTCCTCCGTCAAATCTCACTCGACTATAGTACAACGGCTCCGCTGCCAAATCTCACTCGACTACTACACAATACCGCCAGCTACGCAGGCTAACTGATTTCGAGGGTAAAAAAATTTTTGCAAGGAACTACCTGGCAAAAGATAAATCCTACACTGAAAAAAAAATTTCCCATGGCTTATAATGCTGAAAAAAATCTTACACCGTTGTATGTCAGCAAAAAATTCTATCACCCGAGGTTTTAGACTGTTCACAGTCCCCTATTTTTTCCGTGTGATCGTCGAGATCGAGCGCGTCTTACTGTTAATGGCGGCCATCTTGATTTTTAGATGTGCCGAGGGGGTGGGCGTCAGGGAAGTAGATTTGATACTCTTCCACAGGTTACACTCGGTACGACTGAAAATCAAGATGGCCGCCATTAATGGTAAGACGCGCTCGAAAAAAAATCTTACACAAACCAAATCACCCATAAAAAAGTCAAATGGTCGGCCCGTAAACCATGGTGTGGATTGGATGCTTTACAGTAAATACAGGTTATGAAATAAAAACCAGTTCCAAAAAATCCTTCCGATTTTAAACAATTCCTCTCTCCATTGAGCCTCACTAGCCCCTCAACAGTGGCTGAAAGAAATACCCCCCGTCCCTCCCCACCCGCCAAGAGTAGATTGGAATGTTCAACTTCCAGGACAAACATTACGTGAATAGGAGGGCATTTTGCGTGCGCATGTGTGCATCCGCTGAACGACAATAGCGTGGGCGCATCAAATCTTATGGCGGGAAATCGAAAACTCTCGACAACTGGTTACAGTCCTTTTTTGAATACTGTACTTTCCTACAAAAAATGCTCTCCATGACAAAAGTTGGACGTTTTCTACGCGGGTTTCAGTTTTAGATTCTTCAGCAGTATGTTTTCTTGACCTTTTAAAGACTTTAAAGACCCAATACCAAGAATCACTGTTCCTGTATAAATCTGATTTTCAGTGGCAAAACAATGCATTTCTATGGGTGATTTCCAAACTCATGGTCTTTCTCATCAAAGAAGAAATACATCGGAGCAATGTCCAGCTCCTTAAGGAAAGCGAAAAAAAATTACCACGCGAGCAGGCGGGGTGGGGGGGGGGGGGCACGACTCCAATAGCGCCAAGTACTTGTTTCGTGTACCTATGATCCACCGATTTATGACATCACATCCGGTTGCAAAGTTGCTGCTCTGTTTTGGCGCAAGGCAACAAGATGGACGCCCGATGCTATTTGGTTTCTTCGTTATTTTAACCAACAGGCTAACGGAATTATGTATCTTGAATGCCGAGAATGTTGAGAAGGTATCTAGCCGGCCTTTCAAGCAAATGTCATGACCAAACAAAGAAGATTTAGTATTATTTTAATGATAAATATCATGCAGCTGCGTGGAATGTCATGGCGAGTCTTGCGATGTTTCAAAACGAGTGTCGTTAACGTTTTTCGGCTGTTGCGGCCTATGATTTAGAGAAGTCATCAATCAAAATATAATTTCCTAAGCGGAATAGAATGGGGAAAACGCCGATGGCCACAGTTTAAAGTGTTCACCGCTGGAAGGCTGGATCACGCCCCGTAAAGTTGCAGAAACTTGCACTCAACTGCATGGTTTTGAGGAATGTCATGGCGAGCCTTTCGCTGTTTGTAATCGAGCGTCACTCAAGAGTTTGGCTTTCGCGGCTTCTGATTCATCGAAGTCATCAATCAAAATTGCCTATCCTGAGCGAAATACCGTGGAGAAAAAGCTTATGGTCACAGTTTAAAGTGTTAACAGCTGGAAGGCTTGGCACTCGACGTAAAGTTTCTGAAAGCTCTACTCAACTAATTTCAAAATAGTCACATGTTGCGTGCTTCTGGAAGGTAAGTGTTGGATGTTTAGCATTTAATTTGCCTCTGAAGATTTATGTTTAGAACATGCCTTAAGCCCAAAAGTACTCCAATTTGTCATTATCTGAGAGAAGTCAAGAAAGTTTGTGCCCTTCCTTTTTTTCTAAGCTTGCAAGTGTAACGCACCTGAAAAGAAACCCTTATGCACTACAAGTCATATTGTCAAAATGACTAGTTCGAAATTGCTCCTTATCTTAACTGACAACTACAACACTTATTTAGAAATGTATCGCTCTCGAACATGTGTTGATTGGTTCTTGACCTTTACAGTTGAAAAAAAAAATACTACGATTTACAGTGATTATAGTTATGTAATTAACCCATTCGCTCCTGGAGATTTTGCCGAAAAACGCGTTTTGAAGCTAGTCGAGTGGTTTTCTGGTAACTGTCGTGCTATAAAGAGCTAAAACTTACCACAAACCGGTTTACAGGTCGTACACTTGGCGGCCTTCTGATCCAGATGCAAAATATCAGCTTGCGAAGATCGGGCATGCGCAGAAAGCAAAATTTGACTTTTACTTTTCGCTTTCTCTCCTCCCTTCTTTTTTCGCTTTTCTTGCCTCATTTTTTTTTTCTCTTGCTGGGCATTTAGTAGGCTTCATTTTGGTGGGAAGAGTTTTTAGGAAAGCTTTTAGGATCTTAGGATTAGGTGAAAGGAAAGGTAGGTGGGTAATGGAACAAGATTTTCATGGAGATTTTCAGGTCCTTGTCACGTGGTTTTTTGCTTCTTTCTCCGGTGTCCTTGACTGAATTGTGCTCATTCTGGTATGGTTTGAAAGATCTCTTCACTCTGCACAAGTTAGCGAAGAAAGTTGTCCTTGATCGTTAAAACTGATGACGTCACAAAGGGTAGAAAGGACCTGGATCCGCATGGGCGGTTACGGGCGGTTCAGGGGCGAATGGGTTAATTAGTAAATCAAAAAAGAATGAAATGAAAGTGAAAAAACAAAACAGCTGTTTTAACTGTTTTAGAGGTTTGAAGGTCTGAAGGGATCACTAGAGCTGTAAAATGAGACTCAATAAGAGGTCTAGTTACTTTAGAACATGTTAGACGTTTCCTGCAGCAAAACACATATTTTGGCTTGGTAATTACTTGTATTTCTTGATGTAAATTGCATGCTATGAATTAAGTGTCAGTTAGGGTCATTCATAATGCTGTACTGCACCACTTTTTATTTGACGATTATCTAAGGTATAAAAAATGAATTTTGTGTATTTTTAAAGACTTCAATATATGCTTACTTTTGAATTTATAAACAATATATATTTAAATCCTACACTGTAAGTCTGGTTGTCAGTGTAGCCTGTGTCGCAGACATAATCTATTGCCGGTTAGTAACATCTGCAAAGCCGTGCCAATATTCTGGGCTGCCAATCACAATGTGTTTCGATATTCCCTTCAACCTGATTGGCACACTGATAATGGTATATTTAAGAGGCCAATCATAGCACATATGCATGGGCTAGTTCACAGGTGGGCCACGGGGTGCCCAGAAGCAGGATTTCAGTGCTGTCTCACAGGGGGACTTAACCAGAAGTTTAGTTCTGTCTGTGGCACAGGCTAGTCCGCTGGGCATTAATGTTTAAATTATGTATTTTATGTTGCTTAGCTGGGAAGACAAAAATAGATGACAGAAGAGCACAAACAAGAGAATATCAAGAAGTATTAAAAAGTATATCTACCACACAACTCGTAAAGAGAGGTGAAAGTCTATGAGGACAGAAACGTTGTTACAGAGCCATAAAACATTAATGTTAAGTACAACTCACTGTCAAATAAGTTAAAAGGAAGGAAGAATCCTGACATTTCGAGGAATACACTTTTCTGGTTTATGGAAAATCTGCAGCAACAGAAAACACTGAAATCATGTTGAGCTTGTTCAGGATGTCAATTCTGTTTAGATGGAATCCTCTGACAGTGTCTAGGCCAGTGTACAGTAGTGTGCTTCGAAGCTGGTCCTTCGTAAGACATTTCTTGACTTTACATGCCAACTCTCTTTCAAGGACCTCAAGGCTAAGTGTCTGTTTCCCTGACATTCACTTTCTTGTCAGGGTCAGCAAATTTTTACTAGACGATTGTGTTAAGTGTAGTTTTTTTTGTAAGACTTAAAAAACTTCACAGGAAAGACTGAAACTAATGATCTTGCACTAAGCAGCTTTGAAGAAATCAAGGTTTCTGGGGGGAGGCTGTGCTGCACACATTTCCCTTAGAGATACAAAGGCAAACACCCTAGATGCAACTATAGGAAACCAAACTAACCTTGAATTTAATAGAGAGTATTCACTCACTTGGCTTATTAGTTTGGGACACCAACATGGTCTCTGTTTCATTGTTTTGGGACACCAATATGGCCACCTTGATGTCATGTGAATACTCTCTATACTTCAGTCAGTTTCTCATGTTTATTTTCCATCCCTAAGCATTCTGTTCCTCCTGTGGAAAGGAGTTGGTGGTTGTGTTATGACAACTTCATCCCTTAGTTTTCTTCATCCCTCAATTAATCAGTCAGAGTAAAGGATGGTTACTGGTAATATGATCCTGATTAGGAGAAGAAAGCTTTCTATTAAAGGCACAATGGTCTAGAAGACCAAATGTAAATCCCCATCTGACCTCATTGACATAGAGAAACAAAAAAGGGATTGGCTGACACCCAGCATAGTGATGTGCAGTATTAAGCTCAACAAGGATACAGGGAAAATCCACAACTGAGAAACTGGTTTTTAAGCACCTGTCAGGCTAAAATTTTCCAGTTAGGCTGTCTTAATAAAAGAGCACTCAAATTTGAAACAGGTTATAAATCATAACCACTACAATTTCCTCAAATTTGATTGGTGCATTAGCTGCTTTATTTTTCGTTAATTATCATTGTGTATAGTTGCCTGTAATCAGACAGTTATGTTAGCCAATCATATTAAATGCACTCAGCTAAATCCACCAATAACAGAAGTTATCATGATAACCATAGCAACAATCACTCACCCAAACAAACTGGGGATTAATCCAAAATGGATGAATATGCAACATTTAGGCAGTGTCTCCACCAGTGATATTTTCCCTTGCTTTGGACATTTGGTATGAACAAACACTCTTTCACCAAAAAGGAATGCATCTATTTTCTTGGAAATTGTAATGGTTATAATTATTAATTGGTAACAGGACTCTGTGTCGTCCAATTCAATCTGTAATCATACTCACGATTAAACAAATCTGACTCCTGCTTTGCGGTTGTCCAAGTTTGTAACACTTGTATGATTACAGACTGAATTGGACTCCCCTCAGTCCTATTACCATTATTTATAAAATCTCTTAGAAAAAGCTTCTGCACAGTGTACACTTGGGAAAGTAAGATAAGTCAACATTCAGGGTCCTCTTTTGAGACATAGGTGTCTAATAATCTTTATTATTACTCTGACTGCAATGTGATGGCGTTCAGGTTTTACATATACTAAGGAAAGAGCTGAATGCCACTAAATACTTTTAGCTTAAAGCTACAAAGTATTTTTTTTTTTCAGAAAATAAGGACCTATTTGAGACTGAACCTAAATAGCCTAAATCTGTGCTAATTAGTTTTTCTTTAAGAACCTGACTTGTTTAGGCTAACTTGGGAAAATACAGGTTCTTGGTTGCAGGTTTTTACTAGTAATTAAATTTGATGGAAAAAAAGATTATCAAAAATTAACATAGCCAGATGAGCTTATTTACAACTCCATTTTTCAGACCTGCAATTTATTTAAGGCTGTCTTTTAAAGGAACCACAAGAACAGCATGTATTTTTATTTTCAGCTTTAATAAATTCCAGACTATTTTAATGATCTGGGGCCGGTTGCTCGAAGCCTGGTTAGCGATAACCGTTGGTTAAGAGGTATCAAAATGTATAGGTTTCCATGGTATTTAACGCTGGTTAGCACTAACCATGCTTCGAGCTACCCGGGCCTGGTTAGAAAATCCTCTTAACAGATGGAATAGCAAAATGTGAATTAATAAATCCTTTGATCAAACTGTCTTCTGCTTTTCTCTTGCCAAACCATCTTTCCCTACAGAGGAGCAAAGGTTGTAGCAAATCAGAAAAATAAAACAAAGACAAGAGGCTACACCTGCATTCCCTCTTTAGTGTTACTTTAACACCCAGGGAGAAGGTTATGGTACTTCTATACAGGTATGTGCCATGGAATAGGGAGTGGGTTTTGAGATGATCCGTCTTTATCCTACACTACTTGGCTTGGCTTTCTGATCCTTTGGTAGGGTTCCTTTGTAAAATTATACTAGCTCACCATCAGTAGATACCGGTAACCTTCAGGGGTTTCAAAATGTTTTAAAGTAGGCAGCCGAATCTGGAGGCTGGGGGCACTGGAATTGCTGGCAACATACAATCAAGTAGCCGATGGAACTCCGGTGGTCACTGGCTTGTTTTGAAACCACTGAAACCTCTGGTAACAACTGAAGATACATTGATGGGATCAAGATATGAACTTGAGCCGAGAGCTACTGAACAATAAAAAAACACTCTTTTTATGCAAATCAAGCCGTTTGAAGATTGAAATAGGAGTGCAACACTTTTTGACACAAAAAAGATGTTTATAATTATCTACATTTACCCAATATTTCCTAGATCTTCACTTGTTGGGGGATTGTGTGTTAAAACAACTTGAACATTGCATTGAAAGCCTGTTGTCAAGGATACAACTAAAAAGAGATGGTATATATTTGACTGTATTTTTCAGTAGATACTGGAAAAGAATCAGAAATGCATTGTGAATCTAAGCACTAAGATTTTGAGCCAAATACAGGATCAAAGGATGTTAGTCAACAACAAGGAATGTGGATATTTTTTTGGAAAAAGGAAATAAATACAGCTTGAATGTCTCAGGGCTGGTTTGCACGTTTCTAAAATTCATACATCTAATTTATTGAAAATATTTGGATGTTTCTTTTTTTTAGAACAATAATAATATCATTGATCAATCAAATAAAGTAGGTGAATAAAATTTCAGTATTTCCTTTAACACTAGAAGAAAAACTGTTGTATACATACTAATTATACACAGCTGTATATCATTATTATTATGGTTCAATTTTATCCCTGGATAATTTTAGTTTCCTTTGTGTCATACTCATTATCATACATTTTCATACCCAAAAACACAGGAAAAAAATGTAAATTGAAGTATAAAGCAAAAAATAAAAATACTGTCCATGTATGGCCAAAAGAAAAAAAATGATCACTGGCTCACTCAAAGCTGCACTGAGTGAATGTTTGTCCTAAAAAGGTTTGAACTCTCTGTTGGATACTCCCTTTTGCCTTACCAGCTACAGGTACATACCCCTCCCCCTCAGGCATACCATTCAACATTGTAATAAAAGAAGACCACTGTCAACCTTATTAAAAAGTTACAGAGTAAAAACATTGTTATTAGGAAACAGAAAAACCACTCTACTGAAGTGAATTATTGCAGTAACCTTCGAATTTTGGTTCCATCGCTTACATGTATTGTTTCTAGTAACAAAAAGTGCAAGTCTTAAGATGAAATTTTCATATTACAGAACAAAAAATATCCTTCCTTTTTCCAGGGAGGCCATTTTCTCCCAACAACTGCCTACCAGGTAGAAATTTCATTCAAGTTTCATATAAATACTTTTTGTTTGTTTTGGCCATGAAGACCCCCTCTCCTTACAACTTTTAAGGATCCTAGAATCAAATAATGCAAATATCCCTTACGCACAACTGTCTTACAATATGGATTTTAAGGCTCGGCAAGGGAAAATTGGCAAAAAATATACTTCCAGTCCTTCACATGTAAGTGAACTGTCTATCCCCTACCACACAGAGAGAAAATAACTGGCAATGCAATTTTGCTTATCTGTGCAAATTAAGTTTGCTGTCATTAAGTTTCACAATCCCCCGTAAGCAACAATGCACTCTGTCATACAGTGTAGGTGTGCTGTTACCACCCCTGAAATCGCCTAAGCAAAAACCTTGCATGCCTCCCTCTAAAACAATAAATAATGATCACAGCAATTGCAGGTATGTGGTATCTTTCTGGTACACTATCGTACTCAAAAAAGGCTAATAGTAATAACAATTGATCAACACGAT